TCCTCAGCACACAAAGTCAGCAATTTAACACACTCAACAACCACAGATTCCACAAAAATGGACATCGGCCAACTGATAGTCTTGATCACAGACTCTGTGTACCGGTACCCTAAATTGGCATGGCTCCCACGGCCGGCTGAAAGCTATGATTCCACAATGCCATTTGGAAAGTGGTCAGATGTAACATATGTTATATTTGGGATTACACTGTCTCTGTAAAATACAGTGAGTGAGTGAGTGAGTTTGGTTTTTCGCCGCTTTTTGCAATATTCCAGCAATATCATGGCGGGGGACACCACAAATGGGCTTCACACATTGTGCCCATGTGGGGAATCGAACCCGGGTCTTCGGCGTGACGAGCGAACGCTTTTAACCACTAGGCTACCCCACCGCCCCTGTAAAATACAGAGTCAAGTACTTTTGTTACACTGGTTTGCTGTTATAAACCTGCATAACATTTAATTGAAAACAGAACAAACTCAAATTCATTGGGATGATTTAATAAATGTACCTTGTAAAATGTGACTGTTCAATTTTAAAGTAAATGAGACAAAATATATGAAGTCCAAAATAAAGCATCAGTTATATACAATGCTAAAATGAGTACATGATAAAACCGGATACAATGTAAAACAATTAACATATAGTAACAAAGGAAAGAATGAAGGTCTTCAGAATGCCCACAAATGGTAATGAATGGCAGCCCATAAGATCCCTACTAATGGTTGTATTTTCAATCAGATATCAAAAGAATAAAAACAAAGAGGTATGCTATATATTTAAGATTCGCAACTCTGTAATATCCACAAACAGTACCAATGTATCGTGTGTGGAGTCAGTTGAGATGCAGGGGCGTGCAACTCCTGTTTCCCTCTAACATCTAGAATACTTATCATATTAGTGCATGTGAAACAAACCCCACATTATCGAAACAACCTGTTGAAAATATTTTGTTTTACAAATGCAAATTGATTTCTAAATGAATTGTTTGCATTCATTGAAACTATTTTAGAAAATTGAGTTCACCTTCAGATCCTTTTTAAAAAGAAAAAGAAAAATAAAAAAAAGAAGAAGAAAGAAGCTGCACAAATCTCAATTCTGAACAAACATCATCCCATAGCACTATGATCTAAAACCCTTGATTCTGTCACAAATCACGGTGTATTTGGTTCAAGAGTCTTGCTGAAAATCAGTTACAAAAATGTGTAGATTTGGAATAAAATTCTTTTGTTCTTGTTTGCAGTTGGGCCTAAAAAAAGTTTATAAAAATGAAATGAATAAATGGAAATAATTTCAGAGGGCTATTTGTAAATAATTCTATTGTAACTGATATAAATACCCTGTTTTGGGCAACAAGCCAACAGCCTTAATTTGATAGTTTTCTTCAGAGTTTTCATTAGAAAATGAATAAATTCCAAATCACAATTGGTCTGGTAAAAGTAAAAGTTTAAAGAATGTTGTCAGCAATAAACTATGATTATTGTGATAATCCATTCAGATAATGTGTTCGAAGTGCAATAATAAGAGAGTGTTGATTCAGCTTTATCCTAAATATTGCTGACAATGACATGTAATATTTCAGCAAAGAGACAAGTTCACCTTGTATGACATAAATTGAACGGTTTTCATTGATCAAACATAATCACATTCATCTCTTTCCTTTCCCAATCTATTTGAGCAAATCAGTCCTGCCTCAATGGACTTAACAAACATCAGAATCTGTATAAACACAACTTCATACTGAAATTATTGACAAATTTTAAACATATTCAGAACTTTTTAGCACATCTCATTTTAAAAACACAAAAATATCCAAAGAACTTGATTAACAGTCAGTCCCATCATATCACAAAAGTACAATTTTAACTGCACAAACATGAGTGTTAAGAATCATTCCAAAATAAGAACAAAACTTGTATGATCAATGTCAAACAGCCTCTCCATACATCCCTCCAGAGACGGACAGTGTATGGTGAATGGATGAGGTACCAGTACTACACCATGATACCATGATCAGAAACAGCACTGCTGGGTCACGATGCTGAACAATGGGATCAAGTCTGGACTAGGCAAACCAGTGTTGGTAAGGTGGCCTATCAATAAACACCAGGATCATGGTATAAACAAGGACCACCACATCTGAGTGAGTGAGTGAGTTTAGGTTTTACGCTGCACTCAGCAATATTCCAGCAATATATGGGGGACACCACAAATGGGCTTCACACATTGTGCCCATGTGGGGAATCGAACCCGGGTCTTCGGCGTGACGAGCGAACGCTTTTAACCACTAGGCTACCCCACCGCCCCTGTAAAATACAGAGTCAAGTACTTTTGTTACACTGGTTTGCTGTTATAAACCTGCATAACATTTAATTGAAAACAGAACAAACTCAAATTCATTGGGATGATTTAATAAATGTACCTTGTAAAATGTGACTGTTCAATTTTAAAGTAAATGAGACAAAATATATGAAGTCCAAAATAAAGCATCAGTTATATACAATGCTAAAATGAGTACATGATAAAACCGGATACAATGTAAAACAATTAACATATAGTAACAAAGGAAAGAATGAAGGTCTTCAGAATGCCCACAAATGGTAATGAATGGCAGCCCATAAGATCCCTACTAATGGTTGTATTTTCAATCAGATATCAAAAGAATAAAAAACAAAGAGGTATGCTATATATTTAAGATTCGCAACTCTGTAATATCCACAAACAGTACCAATGTATCGTGTGTGGAGTCAGTTGAGATGCAGGGGCGTGCAACTCCTGTTTCCCTCTAACATCTAGAATACTTATCATATTAGTGCATGTGAAACAAACCCCACATTATCGAAACAACCTGTTGAAAATATTTTGTTTTACAAATGCAAATTGATTTCTAAATGAATTGTTTGCATTCATTGAAACTATTTTAGAAAATTGAGTGCACCTTCAGATCCCTTTTTAAAAAGAAAAAGAAATAAAAAGAAAAAGAAATAAAAAGAAGAAAGAAGCTGCTTATGCATTTGCACAATCTCAATTCTGAACAAACATCATCCCATAGCACTATGACGAAACCCTTAATGCTGTCACAAATCACCGGTGTATTTGGTTCAAGAGTCTTGCTGAGAATCAGTTACAAAAATGTGTAGATTTGGAATAAATTCTTTTGTTCTTGTTTGCAGTAGGGCCTAAAAAAGTTTATCAAAAGTGAAATGAATAAATGGAAATAATTTCAGAGGGCTATTTGTAAATAATTCTATTGTAACTGATATAAATACCCTGTTTTGGGCAACAAGCCAACAGCCTTAATTTGATAGTTTTCTTCAGAGTTTTCATTAGAAAATGAATAAATTCCAAATCATAATTGGTCTGGTAAAAGTAAAATTTAAAGAATTTTGTCAGCAATAAACCATGATTATTGTGATAATCCATTCAGATAATGTGTTCGAAGTGCAATAATAAGAGAGTGTTGATTCAGCTTATCCTAAATATTGCTGACAATGACATGTAATATTTCAGCAAAGAGACAAGTTCACCTTGTATGACATAAATTGAACGGTTTTCATTGATCAAACACAATCATATTCATCTCTTTCCTTTCCCAATCTATTTGAGCAAATCAGTCCTGCCTCAATGGACTTAACAAACATCAGAATCTGTATAAACACAACTTCATACTGAAATTATTGACAAATTTTAAACATATTCAGAACTTTTTAGCACATCTCATTTTAATAACACAAAAAATATCCAAAGAACTTGATTAACAGTCAGTCCAATCATATCACAAAAGTACAATTTTAACTGCACAAACATGAGTGTTAAGAATCATTCCAAAATAAGAACAAAACTTGTATGATCAATGTCAAACAGCCTCTCCATACATCCCTCCAGAGACGGACAGTGTATGGTGAAAGGATGAGGTACCAGTACTACACCATGATACCATGATCAGAAACAGCACAGCTGGGTCACGATGCTGAACAATGGGATCAAGTCTGGACTAGGCAAACCAGTGTTGGTAAGGTGGCCTATCAATAACCACCAGGATCATGGTATGAACAAGGACCACCGCATCTGAATGAGTGAGTGAGTGAGTTTAGTTTTACGCCGCACTCAGCAATATTCCAGCTATATGGTGGCAGTCTGTAAATAATCAAGTCTGGACCAGACAATCCAGTGATCAACAACATGAGCATCATTCTACGCAATTGGGATACAATGACATGTGTCAACCAAGTCAGCGAGCTCACCATATCTGAATGGTTTGATGTTGGTGAGAGGATGTATGGAGATGATGGACCCGGACTAGGAGGTGATCTGGGCATTGAACTGATGTATTTATCCTCTACCTGTACACTTACAAAATGTTAAGCAGCATATTACCAATGACCATGATTGTTGGATTAAAAAAGAAACATCACATATTTCTGTTTCTGGTAATATTGAACATATCAATAACAAAATAACCCATCTTATTGCAACCAATAAAAAAGGTATGATTTCTCTTGGTGAGGAATCAAAAGAACTGTGCCATGATGTTAATGAAGTAATATCAGTCTCAAGCAGCAAGGAAAGTTCATTGATTTACAATATAAATGTCAGGTCATAGTTTGTACATCGTATTTCATGCTGCCATCTTACCCAGACTGAACACAGGAAATTGAACATGTGTTGTCTCCCCTGTAAACATGGTGACAATATACAGATATATACAACTTATATACAATTGTAATGTACATAGTGACATGTATATGATTGTTCTTCAGATGTTCTACTCATGACACAACATCTTAACATTATTCAGGCCACATCATTTTGTTTACTTCCTTTGACACTGTTAGCTCTTCTTGATTGAGTATTATAATTACCCTATGGTACATATGACTGACATAGCGCTTAGATGGCTTTGTTGGAAGGTCATTTCCAAATGAACACCCTTGAAAGTTTACCATTCATTCCTACATTCACCATTTTTCCCCTAAATGCTATCAAGTCAACTCTTGCTTACGACTTTTCTTTTTACATGTGTGAGCAACAAATACTGGAATGGCCTAATTTTTAGAAGGGATACGCAAACCGATATGTCCTGCAATGTAACAGTTCTGAGAATACTGGATACACTGAAAATATGGATTTACATGTACCACCAGGCATAACTGGTCCATGCCTGTATAATTGTAGGTATAACTTCCAACTCAAGATGGCCATGTGTTTTCTTGTGTCTCTAAGGGCATCTGTTTCTTGTCTGAAATAATATGAGAAAATACATCAATTCTACATTATTCTCATGAAAATTGGTTTGATAATTCTGTATCATCAACCCATGTCTTGCATATTTGAAGAAAGTTTAGAATTTTGAAGTACAATATAGCAGCTTTGAAATAAATAAATGCCAAAAAGAACATTCAAGTGAGTGAGTGAGTTTAGTTTTACGCCGCACTCAGCAATATTTCCGCTATATGGCGGTGGTCTGTAAATAATCGAGTCTAGACCAGACAAACCAGTGATCAACAGCATGAGCATCAACCTACGCAATTGGGAACCGATGACATGTGTCAACCAAGTCAACGAGCCTGACCACCCGATCCCGTTAGTCGCCTCTTACGACAAGCATGGGTTACTGAAGATCAATATTCTAACCCGGACCTTCATGGGTCCAACAATGTTCTGAAAATATGATGGTTGATGAGTAAATAAAAGAGTCTTGAACAGATTAATAGCATTTGATATTATCATGAATATTCCATGAAGTCAGGCTACAATGACACAAAATCAACCAAGTCATGAATCTGACCATGTGATCCACTGAAGCCATTTACAAGTAATCTGCTGGAGCCAATTCCAACCCATAAATCATCACCAGGTTCAATCACACCGTTGTGTTGATCGTGGATACAACGCTCACTTAGTTGTTTGAAGAACATTGCTACTCTGTACAAGTAACTGGCAACAAATTCAGTGATGGGTAAAAAACAACAACTCAAGGTCAACTTACATGTTAAGTTCTTGAGTGTTCACTTCTACGGAACGAGATGCCCAGCACTGTCTTGGCTGAGTTCGTCAACATTCCACACAGGTTGTGCAGTCGCAGAAACCCAGCCTCACCTCCACTCAGTATCCAGGTGCAACTCTCCAGGTTAGGATTCACGGATATCTGCAGATACACAGGTAGTTTAGTTTCACCCACATTACTGTGCTCCTCTGACACACCATAAGCACATATTGGTTCTTCCTGTTGGTGAATCTTACATTAGGTGTACAAACTTCATTTGTACACCTAAGCATGAGATCATAATAGCCCACAGTGACGGTCTAGCTCCAAGTGCAACCTATTTGGAGACAGCAAATGATGTTTCATGCAGCTTTAATGTGCTATCCATCCATGTACAATCCACCCATCCATGTACTATCCACATATCCATGTAATATCTATCCCTCCATGTACTATCCACCGATATCCCTCCATGTACTATCCACCGATCCATGTAATATTCTTTCCCTCCATGTAATATCCACCCATCCATGTACTATCCACCCATCCATGTACTATCCACCGATCCATGTAATATCCACCCATCCATGTACAATCCACCCATCCATGTACTATCCACCGATCCATGTAATATCCTTCCCACCATGTACAATCCACCCATCCATGTACTATCCACCGATCCATGTAATTAATATCCACCCATCCATGTACTATCCACCCATCCATGTACTATCCACCGATCCATGTAATATCCTTCCCACCATGTACTATTCTTCCCTCCATGTAATATCCACCCATCCATGTACTATCCACCCATCAATGTACTATCCACCGATCCATGTAATATCCTTCCCACCATGTACAATCCACCGATCCATGTAATATTCTTCCCTCCATGTACAATCCACCCATCCATGTACTATCGACCGATCCATGTACTATCCACTCATCCATGTACAATCTACCCATCCATGTACTATCCACTCATCCATGTCATACCCACCTATCCATGTGCTACCCCCACAAGGGCGAAGTTGCTGCATCTAGAGCATGTTGGATGTCTAGTCTGGACCAAACAAATCGGTACATAGCTGTTGGTTACCTAGTCTAACCAGTAATCCCTATGAGAGTTCCCCTCACCAAGGCAATGGTGTTTGATCCCAACAGTACCGAACACTTACTCTATACACAGATTGTAGGGGCGCGGAGTCAACGTCATCAACAGAAATGGTTGGCATCTTATAGCCAGTGTCATCCTTGGAGTTGAGTGTCCGGATGTGATTCATCTGCACAGGAAAGAGAAGGATAAAAAAATTTAGGACATTTTTATTCCCATAGTGTTTAGGCGCACGCGCGCACGCACGCACGCACGCACGCACACCACAAATTATGAATGGTCCCTAAAGCCACATTAAAGTGTTTTCGCTCGTCTATGGTACAAATCAGCAGATACTTAGCTAGCTAGGCATGATACTAAGAAAGATTAAATGTTAGATCAAAAGACAGAAAAATGGTTCTTGGATGCCATGATGACAACAGATATGTCAATAATTGTGTACAGAAAATGTTTACTCCTTCGTGCTAAGAAGTTATTGTTCAGTAAAGGATACTGTAGTTGAGTGTATAAACAAAGGCTGTAAGTTTATAAGACCACATGGTCGAGACTATAACCTACATGTTCGTTGTCTCTGAACTCAATGCAGGGCTGGAAGGAATCCTTTGATGGAGGTTCGGATGGAGGTTCGGATGGAGGTTCGGATGGAGGTTCTGATTCAGGCCTCTCTTCTGCCGATGGACTTGTAATTAGAGCAGTGTAGATAATCTGTTGGAAACCAGCAATGGCTACATGAGAGTAGACACAAAGAAAGCAGCAAAACTATGTTCATGACTGCAGTTGTCTACTGAAGTCAAACACTGTTGTGTCAAACCTTGATGTAATGAACTTTGTTGCCTTGAAGTAAAACATTGGTCTCTTCATATGTTTATTATTCGTTATTCAATTGTGTCAAACTTTGGATAACTTGTGGTATACTCTTGAATCCCTTCAACTTCACTTTATTATATTCAGGACATACAAATGTGCCCAAACACACTGTTATCTCAGTGGGATGCAACAATACAGTAAACACTGACATACACACAACAACATGGATCGTGACATCTCTTGAATAAGAGTGAGTGAGTTTAGTTTTACACTACTTTTAGCAATATTCCAGCAATATTACAGCGGGGGACACCAGAAATGGGCTTCACACATTGAACCCATGTGGGGAATCGACATGACCAGCGAACGTTTTAACCACTAGGCTGCCTCACTGCCACCCATGAATAAGAAGGAAAAACACCCACACAATCTATAATGTAACATTATTGACCAAGGAGAATCTGTTTGTTAACTAATATCTCGGCTTGTGTGAAACTACATACACGAAGTGAATGGTTTATGGCAACTGATGCATAGGCGGATCCAGAGGGGAGGTGCAGGGTGCCCCACCTCCTGAAAGTTTATGTTATGACTATTGAAACTCTCGTGAAAACGGGTGAAACTGAAATGATGCAATCTCCTAAAACTATCTCAGTAGATACCATCACCCCAAACAATATGGACGACTCATATTGAAGTAAGTACAGTCACTACTCCTGAAAGTTTATTTTATGACCATTGAAAGTCTTGTGAAATCGGGTGAAAATGAAGTGTGCACCCCCCTTTCTCTAAAAGCTGTGTCTGCCCCTGTGATGTCCCTTCCTTATTAAGGTAGGAACACCATGCTGCCCTCGTGTAGGTACATACTCATGTGTTGTGTGACGACCCCAGCCCCTGTNATGACTGCTTTAACCCGAGGCTACCCCAGCCCAATACCCCGAGTCAACAATGGCTGTGTGTATTACCGCTTTACTTCTAGGTGTTCCCTTGGTGAACCTGGATGAGGGGATCCGTAGGTCGACAGTCTTCACAGCCACGACACAACCCGCGCCATCACACGACAGCAGCACGTTGAAGTGGGGGGAGTATGTCACATCCTGCAAGGAGAAACAATTCACTATCATCACACTTTATGAAGACAAATGTGAAATAGCTGCAAATTATACACAGTTGCTATGGTTAACAAGCAAGAGTAAGAGGGACTGTAGACTATTTTATATCTACAGCAGGTGGGGAGATTAATGTAAAAATGAATGATTGAATTGTCAGTCAGGCAAGCTGCTTGGTCAGACAACACCTTGTATGCCTGGTCACACAGATTACATTATACTAATCAAAACAAGTTAAGGATCACCCTCTTATGATGTGTTGCAAAACCAAGTGCAAAGATAGACTTCCTTAGTTCTTCTGCTCTGAGTATATACAAGGACATTGCCTTCAAACTCACATGGTGGAGACAGACCAAGGATCAGGAAAATGTAGGATTGTACAGCAGATCCTGGAATGCTAAGGGCCACAACTCTACACTCACTTGTGACTACACAGGGTTTATAGCTTATGATACTTCTAGGTAAGGGTGTAACGCTGGATAATAACAGGGCCCCTTGCTTCCTCAAAGCCACTGAGTCACACAGCTTTGTCGACTGAAGCCGTGGAGACCACTGAAGCCAGTATGTTAAAGTATTGGGAGTTACGATCATCTTAGCAACAATGGCCACCAATCAGCTTTGAGGTTTGTTGTTTAACCCTACACAATATTCCAGCCCAGGTAAATTATTGAATCTGGACCAGACAAATGACAACCTTGCTATCTCACCCACACCACTGAGTTGTGAACACACAGCGCATTTGTCTAAGAAGGGTTGGATCCAGTCTGGAGACCACTGAAGCCAGTTTCCTGGTAATACAGCGAGTTGTGAGCCAAGCTGCAAGAGAGTATCCATATATGCTGAACAATAGAAGGAAAAAACATACCTGCTGCTATAAAGACAACAATGGCCACCAATCAGTCCAACAGGATCTCAGTGGGTTTTTTGTTTGTTGTTTAACCCTGCACAATATTCCAGGTATAAGGCGGCAGTCAGTAAATTATTGAATCTGGACCCTCGGTCAGTAAATGGCAGAATTTGAGCAGACTTTTTTACCTCAGGCCTAGGTCAGTAAACGGCAGACTTCAAGCCAAGATCAGTAAATGGCAGACCCTTGGATTTAGATCAGTAAATGGCAGACATCAAGCCAAGGTCAGTAAATGGCAGACCTTGAGCCTAGGTCAGTAAATGGCAGACCTCAAGCCAAGGTCAGTAAATGGCAGACCTCGGGCTTCTACAAATGATATTGTCCTCAATCATAACATTACTCTTTTATATCCGCATTTTTAAGCAGATGGTGACGACAGATGACCCAAAACTGAGAGGGCCACATTTACAGGATATTATTCCAGATCTACTGAACCAGCTCCTACTCACTGCAGGCAGTCGTCCTGAGCAGTCACTACTCCGTTGTACACTCTGCCAGCCCATTTTATACCCGTCATCATGCCCATGTCGGAAGTCATCCACTTGTCGTATGGTCGATTGGGGTTGTTCATATCCCAGAACATCACCACTTTGTCTCGACCAGCAGTTGAAAAGCACGATGGTATGGTTTCGCTCCATGCACATCCAGTGACGGCTCGGAGATGAGCAGGGAAGGCACGTGAAGGGAGGATACTTTCCCCTGTGTTGGCTAACACTCTCAGTAGGGGCGATGTTGTGAGGAGGTCATAGACCTGGACGCATCCTGAGGAAACAGCCAGAAACACCAATCTATATAGACAGTATGGAGATAATAATTTTAAATACATAAAACATTCTCTCAGACATCTGTACTCATCATATATCATATCACTCTGGAGTGGTGTTCATGACGTCATGATACAATGGAGGACATGTAGTTACATGCAGTGAACAGTGCAAAAGATAACCTGTTTGGGCCATGAAAACTGGTGGTTGATACAATGAGCAATGCGTCTGGGCTGTTGTCAAGCAATCACTCAAGTTATAGCATATGAGAAACCATTCCATTCCCAACAGAAGATAAATTGCTAAAATCGGTTTACAGTATTTACAGCAAAAAATGCCTTCAAATTTAGAATAATTAACCTGGATATTTTACCCGATACACTGATCTAACTACAATGTACCCCTATGTACATTATTTATCTCCAGTCTGGTGCAGCCTCAGCTACCCTGAAGAGATTGTAAGTCCCTATATATGTGACTGACCTGGTGCCTCCCACAACTGACCTACCTTGTGAGTAGCCTGCCAGTATGTACTGACTGCCTCCTGCCTTCTGCCAGTCGATACACAAACAGCTGCCAGTGTCTGCCACACACAGAGGAGAAACAATGAATCATTATACAGCAGAGCTTACAACCCCAATAGAGGAAAGAGCTTGAGATGCTGGCCTCCAAGGGATGTAGGCCCCGGGCCAGATCCTGAAGCCAATGCATAATTGAAAATTCCCTTGTCAGAAAAGTCACTGAAAACTATGTATTCAGGCCTATTTTGTGTGATTATTAACATATTTTTACTTAAATTTTCATATGAACCCAGTTTCGCATGAGATTTATCGGTTTTGTCGTGCGAGATGGAAATGAGAAATATAAACGCAAGTCTCAAGCCAAATGTGTGACAGTTAGCAGGTATGGAAATGATGAAAAGCTATAATCTGCAACTAGTCAGTTCTGGGATGACGAGTTAATGTCTGCCTTGAATTCTTTGAAATTAAAGTTTTGTATAATTGCAATTACTTCCTTTGTTGTACATTTCCAACATTTGACGTTTGCAATTAACTATAACAATAGGAGAGTCAATACCTGAGTTAGATCTGTTTGTTAGTGTGAGGCAAGGTAGAGCCTTGTAGATGGGAGGAGTTCTCTCCCTTTGCATGTGCTCTTCTGGAGGGAAGTAGACCTCACTTGTTGCTTCTAAAAACTGGGGATGGGGAACACTGTAATACAAACAGATGTTATCTGTAAAATCAAATCTTAAAAATACCCGCGATTAAAAGTGGCCAAAAATTCGCCTGCTTCCCTCTCGCCCGCCAACTTAAAACCACAGACAGGTTACGTAACTCTGTTGCCAGAGCACTGCAGTGACGTCCATATGAGGAACGATTTTCAGTTAGTTGTATAGAAAATGTGTAGCACGCTCATCATTTTGATGATTTCTCGACATCAACGACGACATGCCGAATCGTTGCTTTGTCGCCAATTGCTCTTAGGGGTCGGGCGATGGTGTCCCCATGCACAGATTTCCAGAGGACCCGCGCAGTTAGGTGCTAAATGGGTTATGTTTGTGAGTGCGGCTTAGCGTTGTGGAAGCCTGAAACGATATCTTACTTGTGTTCAGATCGCTTCACGGAAGTTAAAGAATCAAAACTACTTACTAGTTGTAGTAAAATATGCATATGATTGATGACCATAAAGATTTTCTATGACACAACTTGTAACATAACGATTTCTTCCTCGGAAGTGAGGTTGTGGTCAAGTAACAATAATATTGTAAGTAGTATTATATTGACACCCACCTCGCTGCCACGAGAGAAAATTGTTATGATATACGCTATGTCATGCAAAAATCCTATTGGCCATCAATAAAATACATATTTTACTACCAGTAGAAAGTAGTTTGATTTTGTAACTTCGGTGAAAACAAACCTAAATAGCATTTATCCACAGACTGGCGGATGTTCCCGACAGGGCGCTCGCCATTTTTAAAATCGTAAAGTCTGTTAGAATTAATGAGATTATAGTTTGTTTTCATCAAGTTAGAAAATCAAAACTACTTTCTACTCAGAAGTTAAATATGTAATGGAATCATAACCAAAAGGATTTTGCATGACACAACTTATAACATAACGATTTCTTCCACGGAGGTGAGGTGGGGTCAAGTCACAATACTGCGCGATAAATTTCTTGCTACATTCACATGGTTAATGTCCACTCACCAGTATGTAGATACTAGTCAATGTGCGTCTTTATATTTGGTCTTATAATCCTAATTAGTTTATTATCATACTTTTATGCATTTTGAAACTAAATAAAAGCTGACGATCTGCTGATACTTATAGTGAATTTATAACAGAACTGTAATATCTAGACATTTTATAGTTTGCCAATGTGAATCATAATTAAGCACACACACCTAGTGTATGTTGTCTGTCTCATTACACTTCACGGCGAAAACAATGATTCTGTTGAATGCTACGACAAATGAATAAAAACAAAATGCAAATATTAAATTTAAAACAGATTAAAGTTATAGGAACAATATCAGGCCATTACCTTGTTTGAGGAATGTATCCATCAATATCCACAAAACTGTTCCAAATGATGTGTCTTTTAACAGTTTAATATCTGAAAAAAGTGATAAATCTTTTCAGGTATTGGTGTATAGTCTCATTGGTCACCCAAGATAGCACACCTGGCAACTAATTGCATAATGTCCGCCTTTCATTAAAAACCGTAATTTAGTTAGCCAATAATGGGCAATCAATCAATGTATTGCCGGTTAATCCTTTGAAAGAAGGACGTTGTTTTTACGCAGACACCGACCGCGGCAGAGTGTATTCAGTATAGATTAGTAAATCTACATACATCAACACTACCTTTTGACAAATCCGCTGTGTAAGATAAAAGTAATTAATCAATCAGCGTGTTATCGGTTAATCCTTTGATCGATGTTTATAATGTTGAATATTTACTCCAGACACAAGAAATGCCAAATGGGAACCTTTGTCGGTAATCTAAGTGTGTTACCACTAATTATACCTGTTATAAATTCATTAACTGACCATCAAGTGAATGATGACAAATAACATGTGTAGGTTTATACCACCTAACACGGGTTACAACAAGGGAGTATTAATTGCTGTATTGCATGTGAAAACTTATGGGCCGACACTGTTTTGAGATTACAAACAGATTTTTACATGACATGATTAAATATCGAGGTAAAAAAACACAGAAATGGGATCAATTTGGATCAGTCATTATCACAGAGTCGTCGCTCTGATTGGTTGAAATTTCGTTCGCGGGTGAGAATTGTGCACTGTTGTCAAAAAGGTCGATTTAAGTCAATTAAAGGTCGAAATGAGTAGTTTTAATGACGGGGTTTCATTTATAACGATTCCAGTTAGTGATTTATGTATTTTTACCCCCTAGGGTTTATGTGACCTTTAACAAAAATCAAACCTGATAATAACCAAACTGAGCACTGTTAACAAATTCCTGGTTATACAAGATCATAATCACCAGAATTGGCTATGTCTCTTTCATGACAAAATACCACATAAAATTGAAAATGAATATGGAAAGGGAGATTTAACAGTTATTTTGTTCTTAGAAATTAGTTATCAATAAACTGTATACTGATCGTAAAGTTTAAGGCTGTATATGATATGTTTTCCTCAGTGTTATCAGCAATAGAATGAATACCTGAAGACTCTGACGGTTCCATCAGAACAGGCCAGCGCCAACAGGCCCAACCTGGGCAGATCCTCCTGAAAACAGAACAACGGATTGTCAGAATTATATTCATTTGTATACATACAGATTAGAATCTAAAATGCAAACGCAACTGATCGACTTACCAGTAGTTTCTTAATGCTGCAGAAAGTACAAAGCGTATAAAATCATGCAATGACCCACACTGTTTATTATGATAACAAGCAATTAACCAAGTCAACAAGACTGATCTTTCAATATACTTTATTCACCCATTACAGCAATTGGATACCCAATGATCCAGTTTCTATTGGAACCCCACACCTGTGTATTGTCCAGCACAGCTATAGCTCATTCTGCCCTTTGAATGACATACCTGCTCTTTCAATGACATAGACTCTTTGTCCTGCACGCCTCACCTGTGTATTGTCCAGCATTATCTACCCTTCACCTGTGTATTGTCCAGCATTATCTACCCTCACCTGTGTATTGTCCAGCATTATCTGCCCCTCACCTGTGTATTGTCCAGCATTATCTACCCCTCACCTGTGTATTGTCCAGCATTATCTACCCCTCCACCTGTGTGTATTGTCCAGCATTATCTACCCTCACCTGTGTATTGTCCAGCATTATCTACCCTCACCTGTGTATTGTCCAGCATTATCTACCCCTCACCTGTGTATTGTCCAGCATTATCTACCCCTCACCTGTGTATTGTCCAGCATTATCTACCCCTCACCTGTGTATTGTCCAGCATTATCTACCCTCACCTGTGTATTGTCCAGCATTATCTACCTGTGTATTGTCCAGCATCACCTGTGTATTGTCCAGCATTATCTACCCCTCACCTGTGTATTGTCCAGCATTATCTACCCCTCACCTGTGTATTGTCCAGCATTATCTACCCCTCACCTGTGTATTGTCCAGCATTATCTACCCTCACCTGTGTATTGTCCAGCATTATCTACCCCCACCTGTGTATTGTCCAGCATTATCTACCCTCACCTGTGTATTGTCCAGCATTATCTACCCCTCACCTGTGTATTGTCCTACCCTCACCTGTGTATTGTCCAGCATTATCTACCCTCACCTGTGTATTGTCCAGCATTATCTACCCCTCACCTGTGTATTGTCCAGCATTATCTACCCTCACCTGTGTATTGTCCAGCATTATCTACCCCTCACCTGCATGTGTATTGTCCAGCATTATCTACCCTCACCTGTGTATTGTCCAGCATTATCTACCCCTCACCTGTGTATTGTCCAGCATTATCTACCCCTCACCTGTGTATTATCCAGCATTATCTACCCCTCACCTGTGTATTGTCCAGCATTATCTACCCTCACCTGTGTATTGTCCAGCATTATCTACCCCTCACCTGTGTATTGTCCAGCATTATCTACCCCTCACCTGTGTATTGTCCAGCATTATCTACCCCTCACCTGTGTATTATCCAGCATTATCTACCCCTCACCTGTGTATTATCCAGCATTATCTACCCCTCACCTGTGTATTGTCCAGCATTATCTACCCCTCACCTGTGTATTATCCAGCATTATCTACCCCTCACCTGTGTATTGTCCAGTGTGACGATGGGTTCCTCCCACACCCCTCTAGGACACCAGCACACCTGCCACACACTCCCGTAGTCATGGCCAATACTGAATGCAAGCTTAGGATCAGGAGTGGACGTACTGAAATACAGGAACAAACAAGGAACACTACAGTCACGGCCATCATAACATGATAAGTGAGTGAGATCAGCAAATTCATTTGGCTCACTGTTGCTTTAAACTTTATTATGTTCATACAATATATGACTGCTTTGTTGTTTAACACCAAACACAGCAATATCCCAGCTATATGATGCAAGAAGGTAAATAATCTATTCTGGACCAGACAATGTTGTGAATAAGCATTTTTCTGGGGACTAGTTCTTACCTGAATTTTAGAAATAACTCGAAATTACCTGGGATATGATATGTTATGTACTATCACAGTGTACAGGGTCTGTCCGCCTAAGAAGGAACAAAATTACAATACTTACATGGCCCAAAGACATTTTCAACACAGTAATATCCATTATCACAGGAATTAAGTGATCTTACCCTATGCAGACCAAAGACCATCAGAGGCAGTCAGCAAACTGCAACATTTCAGAACACAGCCACATGTCACTTTGAACCAATCTGAACTTACTTGTGGCAGGTTAACTCTCCGAAGTCCCACATTTGTACAACTCCTGGTTCACTGTATGTCTTATTTGTTGGGTGGTCAGGTGTTAAGTTACAAGACACAGCTGCAATTTGATTGGCTGTTTTCTTGTATGGTACAGGGCACCAGTCTATACCCCACACAGAGTACCCCGTGTAACAGGTTGAGTGACCTGCATAAAGAACAGCAGAAATGTCCACATGGTACAGAGGCATTTCACAGATCAAAGTTCATAATACACAAACATTTTCTACCCTATCATATCCCTACAAGTCCATTTTGTGATTCTCTACATAGAGTACCAAGTGCACAAGGTGGTGTGATATTTATCTCCAGCTGAGTCAAGATTAAAACAGTTCCATAAATTATAGTGAGGTGAGGTGAGGTGAGGAGGTGAGGTGAGGTGAGGTGAGGTGAGATGAGGTGAGGTAGGTGAGGTGAGGTGAGATGAGTGAGGTAGGTGAGGTGAGATGAGTGAGGTGAGATGAGGCAGGTGAGGTGAGGTGAGATGAGTGAGGTGAGGTGAGGTGAGGTGAGATGAGTGAGGTAGGTGAGGTGAGGTGAGGTGAGGTGAGATGAGATGAGGTGAGGTGAGGTGAGATGAGATGAGATGAGATGAGGTGAGGTGAGTGAGGTGAGTGAGGTGAGTGAGTGAGTGAGGAGGTGAGTGAGGTGAGGTGAGTGAGTGAGGTGAGTGAGTGTGAGTGAGTGAGTGAGTGAGTGAGAGTGAGTGAGTGAGTGAGTGAGTGTGAGTGAGTGAGTGAGTGAGTGAGTGAGTGAGTGAGTGGAGTGAGTGTGAGTGATGAGGTGAGGTGAGTGATGTGATGTGATGTGATGTGATGTGATGAGGTGAGGTGAGGTGAGGTGAGGTGAGGTGAGGTGAGTTTTCTGCTGTTTCTAGCAATAGTCCAGCAATATCATGGCGGGTGACACCAGCAATGGGCATCACACTTTGTATCACACAAGTGAACACTTAAGCACTGAGCTACCCCACCGCCCCAAATTTCCATGAGTTAATAGGGGCTAAAATCAATGGTCACAACCAAGTGCTTATCACCCAAATATTCCAGCTTACATTCTAGGTGAGGTGAGGTGAAATTGGGGTTAACTTCATGTTTGAGAATATTTCGCTCATATGACGACGTGCATGCGTGTGTATGTGTAGGTGCGGCTGCTTGTACTAGCCCAGACTGAAGCTGGTTTTATAGTGCTAGCCCACTGAGATAACATGCCGCAGTGAAGCATGAATACCCCACTCAGACACATTATACTGACTCCTAGCCGACCAGTCCTTGTTGTACCCATTAATGCCGAGCGCGAGGCAGGGACCAACAAGTACCATATTTTTACGTCTTTTGGTATGACGCGGTCGGGGACCGAACCCGCGACCTTCCGCTCTCCGGGCGGATGCTCTAACGACTACACCACGGAGGTGGTCTCAGCTTATATTCTAGTATTGAATATCCAACATGATTAAACATGGTCACACTGTGTACACTTGTCTTGCCATCACTGATATATATACATGTACATGCCTCCATCTAGACAGTACAAGACAAGACAGTGAAGCAGTGATGATGTGACTCAAAATGAGTCGTGAACATCTGACAACTTACCTGTGGATGTGATGCATTCAGAGACCCTCAGTTGTGTGGCATCTTTCTTGTCATTGCCACGTTTTAACACAAATGGATGACTTGTCCTTTCTGTTATATAAGTTCTGGCTTCCCCTGCAAAGAACATATTCATATATTCCACTTATAAATAACAAAACTTGATTTTAACTTCCTGTCATTCCAATGTATCAATGTTCTGTCAGTACTATTTTTCTAGTTTTAAACAGTCTAGGTATTGGTACCTTTGTAGGTCCAAACCAATTTCAGTGTTAATGATGTCCTGGGTGTTTAGGAAATATGCAGAGATACCAACCCAAAGTGTTATAAGTAGTAGTTTCAAGGATCAAAATTAGTAGTTTGACCATAAAATTAGTAGTCAACTAAATAATTAAAATCATAACAGATTCTGAGAAAGATATATAATATGACACTAATCAAGAGGGAAGCTTTAATTTCACATACCAGTTTCGTATTTATAATCGAATGGAGGGAACGGTGACATGGTTATATCATTCCGATACGATCGTCATTTTCCGCTGGTACACAATAAGTGGGTCAAATTGCAAGGTATTGAGATCAGCTTCAGTTTTCTGATAGACAATTTTGCTAAAATAATGTTTGTTACTTGCAATGATTCCAGTTAAAAAATGTCATTAAATTTGATGAATGGAAGGTAAGTGAAGTCCGAAAATGTATTTAATCAAAGAAAATATATGTTTTTCTCTATATATCCGAATTTTAATGAATTTTCTTCAAATTTCATAGAATTTCAAGTGCAATCGTATTAGCGTAGTTTGAGGCTAAATCGTAGAGGTTGGCATCTCTGAATATGGTATCCTCTGGATGAGAATTTTGGATGGTCAGGTCCTTTGTCAGCTTTACCTGATCAGATACAGTGAAACCTGTCTGAACCGGCACCCCATGGGACCGAAATAAAATGCCGGTTTAGACAGGGTGCCAGATTAGACAAAGAAGATCATTCTCCAACATGGCTGTCATTTATACTCGTCAACTTCTTTACCTCAAAAAGCCTTTGATCTTTTGTAATTGTGCAACAAATTAAAACATTGATGACACTGACAGATAATTATTCTTCATTCAGCATTAAACATTGTTCTAGCGTGCCATGACTTGTATTGGATTAAGGGACCTTGATTGGACCGCGCAATCTCTACTTCCTGATTATCTAGCATGCCAAGAGGATTAATTAGTGTATTGGATTATGGGTCCTTAATTGGACTGCTCATGCAGTGTTAGACAGTGTTAATTACAGTTTAAATTGCTTGTTATGACCGGAAAGTCAGTACAGATAAACTGGTGCCGGATTAGACAATGTAATAATGATAATATTGTTGTAAAATGGCGGCTTCATAATTTTATGCCGGCTTTGACAGTGTGCCAGATGAGACAGGTGCTGGTGTTGGCAGGTTTCACTGTATATTTCCTTCACTCTTCACCACAGCATTTAATTGTACAGATATTAATGGAGAAAAGTTTGTGCATAAAAATAACCTGGCATTAATAAAGATCCAGTGTATTATCAAAGTCTTGAGTTTAATAGAGGAAAAGCGGTACATCTGAGCAACAGGGTCACTGAGCTATTCCATTCATCACCTACTCTGTTGGCAGCTCCTTCCAGTTGTTATTTCTCGGAATCAGCTTTGGGAAGAGGACATTGTTGTTTTCTTCTTCCTTGGCTGCCAGTATTTCAGGGAAGAAGTCTGGGTGATCGGTGAAGTAGGGTTTTGAGGCTGTAAAGTCTCTGTGGAATTTCTTCAGTTTCACTAAAACAATGACAGAAAATATTTCCACTGTTCTCCTCACATTATGTTTACAAGTGAAGTTTTAGACATGAACTTAACTGGCAGAAACATATATACTGAACAAAACAAGTCATTCATCATGAATATTTTGGGGGATATAATTATGAAGGTGTGTCTTCACCACAAAGAAATATTCTCAAACTGTAATTTTTATGATAAAAATGTAATTTTTCAAGTAAAATTGATATTATTATACTTTTCTTATCCTGACTCATGATCTTTTGCTTATAGAATCCGACGGATTGGTGGTGTGTCAAGCCACTTCGTGGATTCATCAGCTGTCCTTAGATATGAACAAAATATTCTCAAGCACAACGTTAAACCCAATTTCACCTCACCTTATATGGATAATAAAGGTGGAATGTGGAACTGTCTATCCGGTTGACCTGGTAGTTGGTTCTTTGCAATAAAGTCTCATCTGAGTTTTAGATGAACTGCTGGATGAACACCCGTGTCGAATCTGGTTCGACCAAAGTCTAAGGCGTGCATCTCAGATACTTGAGCAGCCGTAGCTAGTGCAAGGAAAGGAATAGAGTCTTCTGAGTGAACAACTCAAAGACAGTTCATAAGACGCTCCATGCATGTAACTGGAATCCCTGTGGACTGCCTTGTAGCTGTTTGGTGTGCGGATGAATCAGGAGATTCACCAGTCTGGTAGATGAATTGTTGGTTCTCTGAGAAGCCTTATGAGTTTAGATGTACACCCCATCCTTGTAGTGAGGCGTCTACATATAGATGTAAATCGTATGCTGGCTCTTGTAAATAGGTTCCTCCGCAAACCTTCAACTTGACTGTCTACCATAAAAGATATTTTCTCAGGTGGCATGGTAGAGGGATCTTGAGATCCAGATTGTTGAGATAAGGTTTGAGGAACCTCTGGAAGGGTCGGAGCTGTAATCTGCCTCTGTGCATTAACGCTTGAGGTGAAGTCATCAGGTCTAATAATTCCTGCCAAGATTTGATCGCAATGAGAGTGAGTGGAAGACAAGCATGAATTTTTAGCCATCAGTCTTCTGGAACTGTTATACAGTTCTTTGCTGTGAGGAGTGAGTGAGTGAGTGAGTTTAGTTTTACGCCACACTCAGCAATATTCCAGCTATATGGCAGTGGTCTGTAAATAATCAAGTCTGGACCAGACAATCCAGTGATCAACAGCATGAACATCGATCTGCGCAAATTGGAAACGATGACATGTGTCAACCAAGTCAGCGAGACTGACCACCCAATCCCGTTAGTCGCCTCTTACAACAAGCATGGGTTACTGAAGATCAACATTCTAACCTGGACCTTCTTGGGTTCCGCTGTGAGGAATCTGATTCTTAGGAATTTGAGGTCCTGCAAGGGTTTGAGTTCTGACTTCATGAGGTTTACTTGCCAGCCTAGCTGTGTCAGTTCATAAAGTTCAACTGTTGTCTGAGTAGATCTGCAATTTGATGAGACTGTATACCTTCATCGGGGTAGAAGGTACTGTGTATCCCTCATAAATGAAGATATGTCACTAAGGGCTTTGTTACAAGTGTAAATAGCGCCAGGATTGAAGAAATTCCAAAGGGGAGCACCCTCCATTGGTAATGTACTCCTTGGTACAGAAACCACAGATATTTTCTTGAGGCTGGATTTATAGGGATATGTAGGTAAGGGTCGTGCAGGTCTATGCTGGCCAAATAATCGTTTGGTTTTATCAGAAATCTGAGTTCTGGTACATGGACCATCTTGAACTTTTCCGGTTTCAGCAGATAAAGGAGGTGAACTGTTTCATGTTGTATGTATGTCAGAATTTTCCTTGGAGTTCTTTTCCAGTACTAGGAAAATTGGTGAATACCCAGGTTCAGTTGATCTGGTTCTCCAATCTCCACAGCGTATTTCACTAGCTGTGAGTTGATGGTTTCTAACAGTTCCAGTTGTTGTGACTGCAGGTAATTTATGACCAATGGAGACATTGTAAGAGCAGGCGTAGCCTTTAGTTGGATGCTATAACTTAGGTTGCTCCTGGGATATGACAAGCTTTAATCCTCAGGTTGAGTCTGTCTGCTAGGTCGAAGAAACTGAAAGTCTAATTTAACAATGAAGCTGATGTCGTCGTGCCTTGTAGATTTATGTAAAAAGGCTACCGTCAGCTTGTCTGTGTAATCAGTGGTCCATGGCGATGACTGACTGAGTATGGTTTTATGCCGTTTTAAGCAATATTCCAGCAATATCATGGCGGGGGACACCAGAAATTGATTTCACAAATTGTACCCATGTGGGGAATCGAACCCGGGCCTTCGGCGTGACGAGGAACACATTAACCACTAGGCTACCCCACTGTCCCTATGGCAATGATGTTCCTTGAATTGTAGTAAATTTATGTGTAAAACTTTTCCCCCTGCAGACCAGGTTCCTGTCGCTACTTCTGAGTTGAAGTGCACTGCCCATTCATTCTTCCCCGTATGTTCGCAATCAATCTGTGTTCGATCAGAGCATGACATCAATGTCTACTCTATTTATAGCGAGACTGGCCTCTGCATAGCATCGGAAAGTGGAAGGCTGTGACAAGCTAGCCTCCATGAAATATGGTGCAATAGTTTGTTGACTAAAAGCGTGCATAAGAATTATGCCGCTTACATAATCCTCCCAAAATCACTTGAATAAGGGATGCTCCAGGTGTAAAGTTCTTGAAGGATTATTTATCCATAGAATTCATAGTCTGTACTGGCATACTGGTCCTTAAAAGCCTATGCTACGTCCTTCAGGCATGGTATGAAGGAAACAGCCATGACTGCGTAACAGTGTAGTCAATGCCATTGGTGCAAACATAGTAGATCTTGTTAATGCATTACTGGTATATTGAATTCCGTTGAGGTCGATGCTAAGTGATTTGAGATGAATTCTTGGTCACGTTCTTGTGCCGCCATAGCTGATAAAAGTATACATTTTCTGTCACTATATCAGTATGTGTATATATTGATGAATATAATTCCCTTGAGAATTGATAAGAAGAGAGAAAAGCAAATAAGTATGAGTCAGGATAAGGAAAACTAAATATTCATGAACGATAACTTGTGCAGAGCTCAGTACAGGATTTTTTATGAACAAGATCCCTGCTGCATGAACCAGTGTACCAGAGATCAGCCAGGTGTCCATTTTAATCAATTTCAAACATTTTGCTCAGACAGTCAATGAAAAAATTGGGTTTAAAGCCTCTTGCAACATTATTCCAAGTATGTGAGGGTGTGTCAATTTAGGAAGAAAACCTGAAATGATGCAGGTCTCACATATCTACCACCTTGGTGAAAACTACAAGCATTGGTATGCAGCTGACAAAGCTAAAAACACAATCAGAGTGAAACAGGATTCAAACCCACAATCACTGGTTTCTGGTGTACCCAAGGGAGGTAACTCTGCAAAGATTGTCGTTTAATGACTCAGCAATATTCATGCAACATGGCAGCAGTCTGTAAATAACTGAACCTGGACCAGACGATCCAGTGATCAACATCATGAGCATCGATCTACACAATTGGGATATGATGACGTGTCAACCAAGTCAGTGAGTCTGTCAGTCACCTCTTACGACAAGCATGGGTTGCTGAAGACCAATTCTAACCTGTATCTTCACAAGTTTAGCCTGCAAAGCAAAATGTGGTGTTGCAGGTGACTAGGTCACCCATGTCCCCTTGTTTATACTGACGTGATATACTGGGACATTATCATACCATGTCACTGAAGAAACCTTAAATGTTAGTAGCTTTCACTGATTAAAACATTACCAGGGTTGCTGTAACCAGCTTACCTTTATCTTTTACATTAAGACCTTCAACATCTTCAATTTCATGATCACCATCATCATCTCATCACTGCTGCCTTGAAAATCTCGGTCAACATCACTGTCGTCTGTTCCACTGTAGTCATCTTCTGAGTCTCCTTTCCTCCTACCAAACCGCGATGTCTTATTCTCATCTGCTCCGATCTCAGCAAGAGTCTGCATGGCTCTGTGAATGTAGGTGGGTGGGTTTCAGCAACAGCCAAAGATATCACAGTTCACTGTTAAAAGGTTCAAGTTTTATCAACCATGATATGACCTTGAACCTGGTTTTGACGCATAAGGTTTTCATCTCGACAAACTGAATTATGCTGACTTATGTCATATCCATGCACACAAATGAGAATGCCAACCAAAGGATATCTATTGCCTTTCACCAATCTGTTAAGACTTTGCTTGGCACTCCCAATTGCTTTAATTTTTTAACCCAGAAGTAAGAAAACATTACTTCTAAGTGTGAACCTACTTTTTGGCTGATTTACGTTTCGTCTTTCCCATCTTGTTGAGATCCTCGTCTCCAATCTCTTCTTTTTCCTGCTGTTCTAGCTGCTTGAATTTCTCCTCATCGTTGTCCCTCTTCTTGTGATACACCAGGTGGGCGTGGTACCACATGGACTTCTGGGACCGCCCACACACCTCACATACCGTGCGCTCCTCCTGGGAAGTACATCAACATCATGCACTGCCTTTAGACTGACTGACTGAGTATGGTTTACGCCGCTTTTAGCAATATTCCAGCAACATCACGGCGGGGGACGCCAGAAATGGGCTTCACACATTGTACCCATGTGGGGATTTGAACCCGGGTCTTCGTCATGACGAGCCAACGCTTTAACCACTAGGCTACCCCACCGCCCCGCACTGCCTTTAGAGATCATGTTGCATCAACAGGGGACTTTGCCTTTTTAAAAGTCACTTTAGTTTTGTCAATAATTTTGAGTAATGGAAAAACAATCTTCAACATTTTCCTCTCATTCTACTGGACAAACATGCCATTCTAAGATACAATAGGCTAACTAAACTTAAGCACAATGCTAAGAAGACCGTTATGACATCACTGGTTACCATGATGCCATAATCTTGCCTCACACATAAATGTCGTTTTCTGATTGGCTGAGCGCTCTTCTATTATTTTCAATATACCCTGCTTACAAGTGAGTAACATTTTATATGTACCCCGCTGGGAATGCCGAACTCATTTGGTACTTCGTAGTAGTAATTCTTTACCTCGAATAACATTGAATCACATATGATGGAGGGAAATTATCAATGTTTTGCGAATCCAAATCGATGGAAGAGAGATAACTCTAAACTGTTTTTCTTGTCGTCCTGGTACTCCATGCTATGATCCGATACCCATGCTTCAAACAGTTCAAAATTACCATTGAGGTGTTCGGTAAGATAAATATGTTGTTCACTGGTCCCTCGGGGCCCATGGGTTGATGTACCCTCGATGTTTCTTTATGTCTTTAACATAAACAAACATCGAGGGTACATCAGCCCATGTCCCCTGAGAGACCAGTGAACAACTTATAATGACATCCCTAATCGCTGTCACCAAGGTGGTTAACCATACCATTTATACTCAAGACACAGACTATTACAGTTTATGAACAAAATAGTTGGAGGAAAGACTTTGGATTTTAAACAGCATCAGACTGGACTCTTTGGACAACAAATATACAAAAACTGACAAAAATGTTCAAAAATCCATGACAAGCCTCTGAGTTTCCAACGTTTACTGACAAGTGATGGTATGTGCATATTGTGTTTGTACACTTGGGTGAATTTCTATATCCATAATTACAAAACATGAGTGAGTGAGTGAGTGAGTGAGTGAGTGAGTGAGTGAGTGAGTGAGTGAGTGAGTGAGTTAAGATTTAAAATCACATTGGCAATATTTCAGCCATATTGTGACTAAGTGAGTGAGTGAGTGAGTTAGAGTAGAGTGGACGATATATCAAGACAGTTGTATGTGTGCGACGTGACAAAATATCAGTACACATAAAATATAATACAAGCAATACACATAAGATATAATACAAGCAGTCGACATAAAATATAATACAATCCATCAGTCACCTCTCTGCCACACCACTTGATGTGATGGACGTAGTAGTGGTAGTATCTCAGCTCCTTCTTACACTGCTGACACACCAGCTTGCCCTGGGCCTTCATGATCCTCTTCAGAGCAGCTGTATCCGTCATTCCTTCAGGACAATCCTTGGCCCACTAAAACATACACAATATGTGCCATGTGAACAAGACTGAAATAATATTTTCTTCCACGGCAAAGTCTGCAGCAGTATTTGGAAAACATCTCATGTGCTTTTACCATCGTTACCACTGTTAAAACTCAACTGCTCCAAAAATTTGTTTTGTTTGTTGTGATAATACCACACCCACTAATATTCCAGATATAGGATGTTAGCCTGTAAATAACCAAGTCTGGACCAGACATTCCAGTGATCAGCGAATGTTAACATGCATTCAACCAATCATTGAGCTGACCAACCCCATCTATTAATCATCTCTTAGGTTGCTTGGGACATATTCTAACTAGATTGTTTAAAATCATCACCATGATTACATGAGCTGTTGAAGTTGTATATTTTTTTTTCTAATTTGATATTTTTTCATAATTAACAAAACAATGTTGTTAGCATTAAACATCATATTTCTAAAGAGTAAATAATTTCGTTTGCAAATCAACACAAAAACATATACTATCAAGTAATTCTTATTCTTACAGTTCAGAACTATATTTTCTTACAGACAGATTTTATCCATATTAATTCTAAGTGTTTGCATGCTGTATATCAAGAGTCATCAGCACAGTTATAGACATAAACAAAAACAAATAATATATATACATCAAAGCAATTGTCAGTAGTATGATTTGTTTAAGTTAAACATCTACAAAAGAGTGAAACTATAAATCCTTTACATCATTACACATGCTCAAGCAAACACACAGTGCTCAACATTCCTTTGAGAGACTACAGTCAGTTTGGGTTCAAATGAGAACGATGAATGATTAAATAACTTGAAATAGGGATAAGTGCACAAAACATAAATGAGACACATGGTCCTGGAACCTTTGTACCCAACATGATCTGATATCTGACGCTTTATGTTCAATCACAGAAAAAGTTGTTTAAGAAAGTATCAGGTAACATTGTTCTAATTTCACGTTCGCGCTGAGGGGTGACAAATTGCTGGTGGAACGTTGCCAGCTGTTTCATGACTAGTAGGGGGGCTGTGTTGAGTTGCACCTGAAGAGCGTGCCGGCACTGTTCCATCAGTCACCCCTCGGTATGAAGAGTGAAAATAAAACAATGTTACATGATAGTTTCTCAAACAACTTTTTCTGTGATTAATCATAAAGCGTTAGATTTATGTGTCTCATTTATGTTTTGTGCACTTATCCCTATTTCAAGTTATTTAATCATTCATCGTTTTCATTTGAACCCAAACTGAGTGTAGTCAACAGATCAACATAAATATTTCTTGAGAAAATTGTCCAAGAATTCTCCGACTAGGCTTATGACCCTACCAGTGCTTGGTGTACTGTCATGAGGTGGAACTTGAGTCCGGCCAGAGTTGTCAGATCCTTGTCACATCTCATGCACATAGTTGATGCCTGGTGACAAACATATTATATAAACATTATTACCACGATCAGTATCACGTGTGCACAGCTCCGGGTCAGTTACACTTTCGGCATTTTTCCCCACGATATTTGACAACAATAGAGGACAGCAATCTTTATAATAGCAACTTCAAGTTCACAGAAGTCATTAATTGTTTCATTCCCATTCAATCTACAGTAAACAACACACAACCAGTCACACAATCAATTATTCGAAGGTACTTTATGATATAAATATATATTATTTCACAAATGACAAGAGGAATTCTGAAATGGCAAGAACTGTTACAGCTAATTGTGATGAAATACCTATTTGTACTGCCATGATTCCCTTCTGCAGCGTTATATGAAAACATAATCGGTGGCAACAAACAGGCTAGACATATCGGTGAATAGCTAATTAAGTATCATAATTAATTCTGTTTCATTAAGTTAATGAATGGCGGAGTAATTTTGTAAATACGGCTAAAATATGACGATAACTGTGTGGCAGCCAGTCAAGGTTTCACCAAAGTGGTAGACATTTTCGACCTGTTTCCCTTTATGTATTCTTCCGATAGTTAGCATATTCAGTTGAAAGACTAGGACATAATTATAATAGATATCTGTTCAAAACTACTCAACATGTTCCACTATACACCCAATCCACATGTGACTTGTCCATAATAAAATCCGCTGTTTTCGTATATGATTATCCTTGATACACTGACATCAAAGAGCAACTATTGCCAGACACTTGCCTATTTTTTCAAACACGTGATATATGTGATATACTTAGAGACAATTCAGCTGTTTCTATAACTGTTGATTGTGTAACTATAAGATGATTTACTTGGCTTACCGCAATTTCAGGAGACTTCATTCGAACGACAGGAGTTTTTCTTGGTCGCCCTTTTTTAGCCACTGGGGTACATTCCACTTCCGAAGATTCATCCAAACTTCGCTTCGGTCGGCCTCTTTTAGCCACAGCAGTATATTCCACATCAGATGATTCATCCAAACTTCGCTTTGGTCTGCCTCTTTTAGCTGCAGGGGTATACTCGACTTCAGAAGATTTATCCAAACTTCGCTTTGGTCGGCCTCTTTTAGCCACAGGAGTATATTCCACGTCAGATGATTCATCCAAACTTCGCTTTGGTCGGCCTCTTTTAGCTACAGGGGTATAGTCCACTTCTGAAGATTTATCCAAACTTCGCTTTGGTCGGCCTCTTTTAGCTACAGGGGCATACTCGACTTCAGAAGATTCTTCCAAACTTCTCTTTGGTCGGCCTCTTTTTGCTACAGGGGCATTTTCTACTTCAGAAGATTCTTCTAAACTTTGTTTCTTCCCTCTGCCCTTAGCTTTACGTCCCTGGGTGGAATCGTTCATCATACTCTCCTCATCACTTACACTTACTGTTCTTCTTGTAGTTTCCTTTGTCTTACTATCATCACTACAATCACTGTCATCTTCATTGTCCGAGCCTAAGTCAATGTCATCACTATATTTCTTGGCTTTTCTTCTCCTTGAGCTTGTTCTTAAGGGTATACTACTGTCCTCTTCTAGTGAGTTGTTATGTCGAGAGGAATTATTTTTATCATCACTTCTCTCTTGCTGTGAAGCATGTCTACCTCTTCCTCTACTGCCCCTGGGCTGACCTCGGCCCCGGGATCGACCTCTACCTCGACTGGGTAATGGAGTTGATGTGGGCAACGTTGTTGCGTCAAATGATTCATCCAATAATTCTTCTTCCTTGTCTGTGTCAACATTTCCTTTTAATTTTCCTCTTGATGTATTCAAAGTATTTGAATCACTTACACTGTTATCCTTCACCTCAACAGAGTTATGTCCCTTTGTTTTTGATGCAGTTTTAGAGTCTTTCCCTTTCTTTAATTGTGATGTCACATCCTCACTGTCATGAGTGTTCTTATCATTCGGGGATCCATCTCTTGATTGATGTTTCTCAGATTTATCCTTCACTGATTCTTCACCCACACCATCATCAAAGTCACAAATATATGCAGGTTTCTGTCTGTCGGATACTTCAGCTTTTTTAACACTAGGATTACTCTTGTCTTTTCCAACTGTGCTGCTTCCATCTTTAACATTTCTTTTCTTCGTATTCGAATCAACACTTTCTTGGTCTTCCAGTCTGACATTGGGCACACGCGTTCTCTTGGAAGAACGTATTTTGGGGACTTGATTTTCTTCCGCCTCTTTCGCTTTCAGCTTTTTCTTGTCTGAGAGAGCGAGAGACGAAAGAAGGTCCTCTTTTGAAGGACCACCATCTCTTCGAGGCGAATCAGCCGCCTCTTCATCTGGAGGGTCACTCTCAACCTCTTTATCTTTTTCAGCTGCAGGAATTTTAATTGGTGATATGGAAACTTCAGCACTTCGTCTTGGCTTTGGTCCACTACTTTAGAGGGTCTTTCTTTCCCCTTTTTATTTTTTTCAAAAGAGTCTGAAAATATATTTGACCGGCACTTAAAACATCACTAACAATGATAAACTTCATTTTAATCATATGTACACACACAATATATATATATATATATATATATATATATATATGTATATTACGGAATTGCCCAATCCGCCCAATCCGCAAATTACGCATGATATTTGCGTAATCCCCGAGAATGGGCGAAGCTCTGCCCAAACCCTGTCATTATGCAATTAGTAGTGCTCGTTCCCGTGAATTGAGCAATTAACTAATCTGCGTAATCCCATAGATTGAGCAAGCTGAGTTTTTATATTAAAGGAGAATACTAAAACTTTTCATAGGGTAAAGGCATTCTAAAAGTCACCTTCCCTGATAAAAATTGAACAAAAAGTATGGGTTCCAGGGGGGTTGACATCTGATTATCAAAACCGTTTTTGCTCATTCCAAGGATTACGCAGTGAGGCATGCCCAGTCCGCAGATTAAGCAAGCAAGGTGGCGGTTGACGGGAATGGGCCAATACCTTTGCGTAATTCGCGGATTGGGCAATTCCGTATATTACGCACGACATATATATATATATATATACACAAGTGTAGAAAACCTGGTACAACACTCATGTTATCAAAGTTATAATTCAAATCAATATTTAATAATATATAGAATTCTTTCATTCTTCTGAATGTCACAAATCAAAGTGACTTCCACAAATCTCCAGACCCATTGTTTGAAAATGACAGCATCACAACACAGTAATACTGAGTGCTCTGATAGCATAAGCAGTGCTCAGTAAACAGACTAAAATAATAACTTATAATTTCTTCAAATATGCCGAATGAGGTATGGGTCATTATCAGCATTCGAAATACCTGCCTGCCTGACCGCCCGCGGACTCCCAGATTCTCAAATTCATCTGCCCGACGGTCGGGTTAAACATTTAGACATGTATATGAAGATATGTTTTGGTCAGGGCTGGCAAGTTTTACATCTAACCAGTCCTGTGGTCTGGCTGAAATATTTGGGAGTTTCATGCCCTGTCATTATCATAGACACATCATCATGATCATGAGTCTTGAAATACTGTCACCACAATTAAAGCCAAAATGATTCAGTCTATATTTCAACCATTAGTCCGAAGCCCCAAAATGAGAAAGTTCAGTCCATGTATTAACAAGTTACAATCAACAGAAAGCGATGCCAACCGACAATTTCAGTCGTGGATTTTGACACAGAGTGCAGACAATTCTCACAGCCAGATTCACTGAACAGCCAGTATTTTACCATCATTTATTTCTGCTGATGTGTCCTTTTTAATTTTCCCTGATCTTGGGGTCCTCCGAACCATTGTGATGCTTCTATAGGAACATGTTCCCTGCTCTTTTGTGTTGAAACTGAAATATGAGAATATGTTTCAGTGAGTATGTCCCAAAATGTTTGTGGTTGTTGTTGGTTTGTTGTTTAATGCCTCACTCTGCAATATTCCAGCTACATGTATTTGGTGGCGATCTGTAAATTATCAGGTCTGGATCAGACAATCCAGTGATCAACAGCATGAGCATCGATCTAGACAATTGGGATATGATGACATGTGTCAACCAAGTCAGCGAGCCTGACCACCCGATTCCATCAGTCGCCTTTTATGACAAGCAATGGGTTGCTGAAGACCAATTCTAACCCGGATCTTCACAGGTAATGAACCAAAAGGTGACATTATCTCCAATTTCAATCAACATTCAAAGGAAACACAAATATTAATTGTGCTTCTGATTGTAGCCGGACGGTGGGGTAGCCTAATGGTAAAAGCGTCCGCTTGTCACACTGAAGACCCAGGTTCAATTCCCCACAAGGGTACAATGTCTGAAGCCAATTTCTGGTGTCCCCTGCCATGATATTGCTGGAATATTGCTGAAAGCAGCATAAAACTATACTCACTCACTCTGATTGTACCTATACAATCTGATTCTGCACACATTCCTAACTTTATAATACAATAATGTACCGGTAGATCTAGAACAAAATTAATCCTGCAAAATAGAGACACAATCGTAGCTGCCTTATATTTCTTATCATAGTTTAATTAACTTCACTCAAATAAATACCATAGAAGTAGATTGCCCTGTAAAAGGTGGCAATTAAATATGATCATCATTACCAACTTAATTTTCCATTGTCATAAAAGTAACACCAAGTGGTATCACTATGTCATGATCATAATGGATACACTCTGACAACAAAAAAGTTTGTTTCTGAACAACTGTAAATTATAGAAAAGAATATGTAAGTGCCCTAGCTAGTTTATAAAGTTCAGTGAAATGTATTATTTCTTAAGTCAGTGTGTGTGAAACCACATCCTTTCAAAACAAATTAGTCTGACATCATCAGAGCCACAACACTTAATCACTAACTAACTAAAATGATTTCAGATTAACCGATATTTTTTTTCAAATGTGTTTTATCTGTATCCTCAATAAAACACGAGCACATAAACATTCATCTATTATGACATCATGACATCTCATTGCAAAATAGAACTCTTTCAAAAATATAAACCTAATTTGGAACAAAAAATTGGCGTTACTCTCAAAAAAGTCTGTTTACATTTTTGGTGTAAAGATCAAATTAAATATTCGCAAAAATGTCAAAATTCCACACAAAGCCGGAGATCCTGATATAATGTCTTCGACGAGAGCAAATATTTTGTTAACTACTCGCCATTGACTGTGGCTGTCACGTCAGAAGACAAATAAAGGGTACACTCCACAAGAAAAAGTTAAAGTCGAAGTGTAAAATAGCATACTTCTCGGGATTCGAACCAAGAACCCACAGACTTCGACAAATACACAAACCCCTCCAAAACTGTCTCGCAGGTGCGATGAAATCACGCGGGTTCAGCGAGAAATACCGATGTACTATTTTCCTCACACTGGTTCGAATAGTTAATATGTCAAATAACATCCACTAGGAGGAGACGGTTACCTCATAAATAAAACGTGTCACAAAGTTAACAATCATAGTTTTAGTGTTTCAACTTAGATAGGTTAAAGCTTAAGGACTTTACACCGTGTTATTCTTTTCGTATATCTTCTTTGTTTGGGCAAGACATAGAATACAACTGTTGATGTTCAGGTCGACACGATATAATCAGGAATACATAATCTCAATTTATCACAAAGATTTATCATATACATGTCTTTGGGTTAGAACTACTTATTTACCGTGACATTATTTTCAATAATAATATTTTTTAGACCGTACATTTTTCCAGTGTCAGTGCCAAACGTGGAAGTGTGGCGTGCGCATATAATAATCTATTATATGGTCTCTGGTTGAAGCCCAACAAACACGCACACACATCCGGACCTAGACTAACAACTAGTCTCTGAAATGAACATATTTTACTGAAAAAAGTTCATAGTTAAAAATATATATATAATGAAAAGGAGCCCTGAGACTTTCTTCATTTTCAGAAGCTGAGGAAATCTAGACTTGTCACATTTTCTAGACTTGCGTGGGTTTTCTTGGATATATTTGCTTCAGGGTCTGTACGACAGACTAATCCGGACCCACTTTCTCGAATCCATATCACTCTGTTCTGCCTTGCAGCGTTTACATGAGGCATTGATACAATACATTGTGTATATGGATATGTTTTATGATCTCGCTCAAGGTCGTTTTGTGAGACAAAGGACTGATAGCTGTATCCAGTCATAAAACAATTATGCACACACACACAAAGAGTTTTACAATACCTCGTATGTGAGAATAATGTTTACTTCTTTAAATAAAAATTGTTTTCATCAATTTATGTATACGGCTTTGTGTAATCATCTTTCTTTTTTCCATTGTCATAGATATTCATTTCACTTGACCATGTGTAACAAAAGACACTTCCAGATTTAGCGTTCATCGTGACATGTGAAACATTCGGACAGGTGGCGAGTAGTAAATATTTGCGTAAGTGACATACATAGTAACATCATATCTAAAAGATATTTTGTTCCAATTTGTTCAAATTCTTTGAGTGGCATTTAGAAGATTCCAATATAGTTAATGGAGGAGTGCGACGTTTCGATGAGATCTGATCTTGGAAATCTGTATCGAAACGTCTGATGATTTGGAGTACATTCATTTGTGAATCTTTCTGATGATTTGGATCCATTTTGTTTTAATTATTAATTTTTTATGATCAGGGTGAATATACTATATGAAGAAATGTCCTAAATTATAAATATTTAAACGTTATTGACTACAAGTTTAAAACATAAATACATATCATATATATAAACCCTTATGATCATAAATGCCTTTATCTTCGCTTGAAGGTCACAAATGCACGATAGCAAGTGTGTTTAGGAAAATAGTTTACGGATCTGATGGGTTTATTTTGTTATTCGCGGGAACCAGGTTTAGTCAATAATCTTCTGTACCAAGCATAAATAAAATAGGAAGAACACGTGATTCGGGCCAAATGTTGAAGCAGTCAAGTCAATTACTGACGCGCTCTGGTGACATATCATAATGTCCGTAAATGTGTAACTTCCTATTTAGATCTAACCAAGGGCGAATAACTCTAAATTGCTCCAAATTGCTTGATCGTTTTGTCTTCAATTTGAGTGTTTATTTTCTTGCAAATAACTTACTACCACACTTGGAGTAATTGTAAGCTGTTGGCAACAACGAATGGTCTTTGGATCATTACAAAGATTATCGAGATCTTGCTTTTGAAGTAGGTACTGTTAAGATTTCCAGCTTTTCGTCAGAAACCTGAATCGGCGTCAAGCACAAATTGCTACAATCATGACAATGACAAACATGATCAAATATTAGATATAACATACTATTTGAAGTGGGATACATTGCGATTGAGGCATTATACAACGGTGGACGTTTCCCACCCAGTTATATGGAGCAGTGCACTTTACCATGTTTACACTACAGCACACATATTTGTTATTATTGTTTTATTTCTAGTATTATTTCATGAACATGTGATGGTTACAAAGAATGGGTAATGTGATTTTAATTAATAATGTAAGGTTTCTATGAAATATGTATAAATATGTGAACATATTTTTTAAAATAATTTATTAACATAGCTTATGTTTGTTAACTCAATCATACTCAGTAGAGTATCATTATCATCATGATCACCACCATCATAACTAGTATATATTGGCAATGGTTTTGCCAACATTGCCAATAAGTAGTATCATATATTGCGATAAGTAGCACATATATGCTTTTCAAGTGCAAAAGTTTTTTCTGTGTTCTGGTGTATTGGGTAAACAAATAATATGGTAGGTTTCATTATTATTTGTATTGTGTAGTCTTAAGATCTACACCAAAATTCATTTATAAATGCTGTTTCCATTTTAAAGTGATTGTCAAGAAACAGAAATTAATTTTTCTCTCACATTCTCTGCCATTTATCCATGACTACAAAACGTCATCGACTGATACAGATGAGTATGAGCTTGAGAATGTAGAACACAGGATCAGTGTCAATTAATGACAAACAGTTTAGCTCTCATTATATTTCAATAGAGATACCTGTAACACAAAATATTGCAGAAAAAATGATTTGCCAAGACACAGCCCTAACAAAGATTATCTTAATTGTCATATCTTTGCCAATATTTTCAGAAAATCTGTGGGATACTATACTACTAAAAGTTGTGAATGATGGCTGGCCCAGGTCAACATTACCCCCTGACAGCCCAGATGTCTGCCCCTGCATCCTATCAGGCATACCAACCACCTCCTCCACCACCTCCACAGATGTCACCACAGCAACAACAGATGATGGTTCAACCCAAAGAGATAAATGCTGCTTTGTTTTGTAGAGCTGGGCAGGAAGCTGTTCACGACCTTGTTTCCAAAGCTACAGAATTATTTCAGCAGATGTACCGGTTACAGGTTGGCAAAACACTGAAATACTTCCCTGGTTGATGTAAATATCTCTTATTATTAGCCTTTAGATAAATTGGAAGTCTTTTCATTAGCCGGCACCCTACAATTTCACAGATAATGTGAATCCAACTTACCCTGCTTCAACTGGACAACTTTTCATCAAACTTTTGTTAGAACATGCTGTATTTTATCTATGAATCAGAAATAGATGGGACCTAAAGATATATCCTAAACCTATCCTATTATTTGAAATGGCAAGTCTCTTTAAGACTTTGTGTGCAGGCGATTAGGATGCCTGAATCTGAGGGTGTGGGTTCAAATCCTGCATGGGACTCAGCCCAACAAAAGTACTAGAATCTGTACTTTACTAAGAAAGTGTAATCCCAAATATAAAGTATGTTACAAGTCTCTTAAAACATAGTTTTAAAAACCTGTAAGAGTTACAGCCTTTTGAATATTGACAACAATCATGGCAAAAAGTTTGTGTCCCATACCACAGCAAAAACAGAAAAAATCATCTCAAGAATAACTGTATTAAAACATTTACTAGAATCTACAGGTAATAAATCTGTTTTACATGACCATTTCCCAGGTAGTATGGGATGGTATGGCCCGTTTGAATCTGTATTTCGTCAGTCCATATTATCCTGTACTATCTGGTAGATAGCATTGGAACTAATGTTATTACTGACAAATTACTCACATATATATTACGCATATTTATTTCCTATCCAAAATATTTACCTTGTGTGCACATCATTCAGTATTCAGGTTAGTAGGGTAGTTTAGTGATTAAGTGTTTCTTCTTAAATCTAAGTCCTAGGTTTGATTCCCCACATGGGTACAATGTGTGAACCCCCTTTCTGGTATCGTCTGCCATGATATTGCTGGAATATTGCTAAAAGTGGCTGAAGACACAACTCATTCACTCATTCGGTTTCCATGCCATGTCAAGAGTTGCGCCCTGTGGGCATGCCCAAAACCTGGGATTGTGGGTTCAAATTCCGAACACCCCAATAGTGTGTCTCATGTCATCAGTTCCCAATTGTGCAGATTGATGCTCATGCTGTTGATCACTGGATTGTCTGGTCCAGATTATTTACTGACCGCTGCCATATAGCTGGAATATTGCTGAGTATGGCATAAACCTAAACTCACTCACTCAATAGTGTGTCTACCTTTGTCTACACCATGCCCGTGCTTAAGGATTTTGCCAAAGTTATAAAGAGCGCTCAAGTTAATGGTAGTTTGACAAGACTTTGAGCAGTGTTTGTTTGTTTGTTTAGAGGAAATACATTGGTGATGGTGTGTTTAGATTCCAAATGGAGTTACAGCTGGTCCGCAGCTGTACCAGGAGAGGCGGATCAAGATTGATGAACAGCTACGTGTCATCCTTCAGATGTTTCAGAAGCTAAGAGTGATCTACAACAAAGTAAATGAAATATCTATACACTTCCCGGAACCACCAGAAGAGGTGTGTTGATTGTCATACATGGATATTGGCCTGACTTTCATGTTGCAATGTATTAATACATTAATTATATATATATTAATGTATATGTATTCATGAATTGTGACACATACCACAACATAATGCATGTTTCCTTTCTTTTGAATTTGTTATGAAAATGAATAAAAGTGGACCGATTCATCAGATCTCCTTTGCAATATTTTGAAGAATTAGTAGTTTTGACAAGTTCATTTTGTTGGATATTGCAATGGATTAGTTGTAGACACATTATACACAGGAAACCGGTCCTGAATCCTTTTGCCTTTTCAGTCATTGAATCAAGGTGTTAATTTGTGAATTACATAATTTCAATTCAACTTGTCTGAAAAGATGCATTCATTTGTATTTCAAATTGTGACTTACAAGTAATTCTGTACACCTCTAGTAGTACCAGAGCTGATACCATTACTATGTGGCTATCTTAAATTTCGAATGTTGGGCTGTACAACTTATTCAGGCATCATCTTGTCTTCCTTTTTTATTTCACATTCCAACCTCGTTTCCTTCAGTTGCTGATTCCGCTAGTTGGTTCAGAAGTGGATCAGACATCAATGAACAATGATGTTTACAGATATGTTGCAGAGGAACATAGAGAAATTGTAGAGGTGAGTGGAGCTTGATGCATTGAATATCAATGTATAATTTTGTTAGGGGTAGTCATGAAACTGTACCAAATTGTACCTTAAATCTGCCCCCAAATGAAGGAAACGTTTAGATTTTACGGTTTTGCTCTAATGTACATGAAAGTCAATGTTTGTAAATTTTTAGTTAAAGAATACTAGTATATGCATACTTTGGGCAGGTCTCTTGGACAAAAACTAAGAAAGATATGTCTTGAAATGTCTGTTTCTATTGTTACAGCAAGTGAGGATGAAGAACCAGGAGATTAAAGACATCATTGACCAGATACGTTCCATCATCTGGGAGATCAACACTATGATTACTATGAGGAAAACGTGATACAAGGTCAAGGTCACAATGTCTGTACACAGGGCATTGGAGGCTGGGCAGTAGTGGGGTGGCCATGTTGCCCAAGATACCAACTTGCTCCAGTATTCCAATAAGGAAAAAACTGTTGCCTTAAGACACTTGAACTCTGATTTTGTGAACATGTGAATCTCACTTTTCTTTGGAAATGGAGAAATGTCTTCAGTGCTACTTTTCATAGCAGAGTTACATCCCTTTGCCCTTCCAGGATCTGCGGACATGTTCGTACAATTGCAGACTTGTCTCATTTTGTCACCACATACTCCTGGATTTTAACAAAGTGGTAAATATCAATGCTATGTGTCACTTAATGTTTCATACTTTCAACTTGAAGTGGTGTTACTGAAAACTGAAATAGTGTGAAGTGCTGAATGAACTCAGTGAGGTGGAGGATATTTCAGGAAAGGGGTAACTGTCTGGGGGAGAAAGAATGTATGCATTTTGTGTAATATTTGTAATGTATGAAAATATACAATCATATTGATTTAATTGTGTTCCAGATTGTTTGTGTCCAATATTGCATGTTACATTGTCTACTCTGATTCCCCTTCCACATAGATTTTCTCTCTTGCAAATTACTTACACCACAATGTTGCCTTGCTGAGAATGAGTAATTCTGTTAACAGATGGGTATGTGAATTAGTTACTATGTACATACTCCATGATAGCTTGTAAATAACCCAGTCTTGGCCAAGTCAAACCAGTGGCTGATAGCATAAGCAACGATCCAGTAGATAGGGTCTCATGTAAAAGGCAAGTGTGCACATGGAGGGTGTCTGAAACAACAACAGTGAACTGACCAGCCAACACACACATGCACACACAAACATTTTTGATCTGCCAGTGCTGAGGATATATTCTAAAATCTCAAACTACACCCTCAAAGTTGTATCTTCTGAACTGCCTGCGTGGTGTAGTGGTTGGATTGTCCGCACAGAGAGCGGAAGGTCGTGGGTTCGATCCCCAGTTGCGTCATACCAAAAGATGTTACAATATGGTACTTGTTGTTCCCTGCCTGACGCTTGGTATTAATGGGTAAAACAAGGACTGGTCGGCTCGGAGTCAGTGTAATGTGTCTGAGTGGGGTGTTCATGCTTAACTGCGGCATGGTATTTCAGTGAGCTAGCACTATAAAACCAGCTTAAGTCTGGGCTAGTACAAACAGTCACACATATACATGCACTCGCATGTTGTCATATGAGCGAAATATTCTGAAGTACAACCTTAAACCCTATCTCACCTCGCCTAACCTTGTATCTACTGCTGGTTTATGTAACCACATATAACAAATCCATGAGTATTGATGATATTCTTTATTGATTCAGAAAGGTGTTAGTCAATGAATCCTTGTGACAACCCACTCTTTCTCTAATGTATCGCTTATCACTGGATGAGTTCATTACAGAGAAAAGGGTAGGTCATCAAACCATGTTGTGCATATCATTTTGCCCAGGGAGATGTTTTTTCTATTAAACAAAAATGAAAATGTACACCTTTGGCCTGATAATTTTGTTTCATGTTTTCCACATTTTCCATCAATTAACCTATGTTTTAGAATTTTTTTGTACTGACAACTTAATCAACATAAGCCTATTACCAAACAAACTTTAAAAAGGGAAACCAAATAGTTTGATCTCGTAGACATTTTTCCCACCAAGCTTCCATCAAGCACAACAATTATCATCATACGTAATCAGAGAGAGAAAAAATGAAGCAGAGAGAGAGTGAAAAAAGAATGAATGACTTTGGGGACAGGTATTGTAAATACTCCTAAAATAACAAAAAAGTCACCAGAATGTTGAAACTGCAAAAGGAGTGTAACACTAAGTACTTCTAGAATACCTTACAGGTTTGTTGATGTTTACATACACTTTTACATGGAATTTGAGAGGAAGAGAGCATTGTACAGGTATGTTAATATACATTCTTTATTGCAGAGAGAAAGTATCAAAACAAAATTAAAAAATCGTTTCGTTGCAAAATGCATTAAACTGCAATATTGCAAAGGAAAGTTCAACATGTCATTGTTCAAGGAAATACGACTTCTTCATGGACTTATATAGAGAAGTACAAGCGCCACAAGTACAACTGGAGTGAACATGTTTATCCCTGTTGCCATGGCAGCGGAGCAGGTGCCATCACACGTGACGTTTTTGTCACAGACCAGCCTGTAGCCCGAGGGAAAGCTCTTGCACAAATCACCATCTGCAACAAACACCACGTCGACACTGAATAAACGAATCAGTTCTTTGCAATCTAAGTGTACATTTTACAGTTAGGATACTCTCAAGTTCCGTGGATACCTTGTCAGGAAAATATCCTGTCGCATGTCAGGTAAAAACTGCGAGTATGAAGTGAATACCCCTTCACATATCAGGGGAATACGCTCTCAGATGTCCTATATATTATCTCACACGAAGACAACATCAAATACCATCTATCTATTCTGCCCTGTCCCTGTGAAGACCCCATCACATGACACTATATATTCTGTCTTGTCCCTGTGAAGATGAATTCAAATGATATATATATCTTCTGCCCCGTCCCCGTGAAAACAACATCAAATGACATCTATCTATTCTGTCTTGTACCCTTGAAGACAGCATCAAATGACATCAATCTATTCTGTCTTGTCCCCGTGAAGACATCAAATGACATTTATCTATTCTGTCTTGTCCCCCGTGAAGACAACATCAAATGTCATCTATCTATTCTGTCTTGTCACCCGTGGAGACCCCATCAAATGCCATCAATCTATTCTGTCTTGTCCCCGTGAAGACATCAAATGACATTTATCTATTCTGTCTTGTCCCCCGTGAAGACAACATCAAATGCCATCTATCTATTCTGTCTTGTCCCCTTGAAGACAACATCAAATGCCATCAATCTATTCTGTCTTGTCCCCGTGAAGACATCAAATGACATCAATCTATTCTGTCTTGTCCCCCGTGAAGACAACATCAAATGTCATCTATCTATTCTGTCTTGTCTCCCCGTGAAGACCCCATCAAATGACATCTATCTATTCTGTCTTGTCCCCCGTGAAGACAACATCAAATGACATCTATCTATTCTGTCTTGTACCCTTGAAGACATCAAATGAAATCAATCTATTCTGTCTTCTCCCCGTGGACACCACATCAAATGTCATCAATCTATTCTGTCTTGTCCCCGTGAAGACATCAAATGACATTTATCTATTCTGTCTTGTCCCCGTGAAGACATCAAATGACATTTATCTATTCTGTCTTGTCCCCCGTGAAGACAACATCAAATGTCATCTATCTATTCTGTCTTGTCACCCGTGGAGACCCCATCAAATGACATCAATCTATTCTGTCTTGTCCCCCGTGGAGACCACATCAAATGCCATCTATCTATTCTGTCTTGTCCCCTGTGAAGACAACATCAAATGTCAAATATCTATTCTGTCTGGTCCCCGTGACGACCCCATCAAATGACATCTATCCATTCTGCCTTGATCCCCGTGAAGACAACATCAAATGTCAAATATCTATTCTGTCTTGTCCCCGTGATCACACACATCAAATGCCATCAATCTATTCTGTCTTGTCCCCGTGAAGACAACATCAAAGTCAAATATCTATTCTGTCTTGTCCCCGTGATCACACACATCAAATGCCATCAATCTATTCTGTCTTGTCCCCGTGACGACCCCATCAAATGACATCTATCCATTCTGTCTTGTCCCCCGTGAAGACAACATCAAATGTCAAATATCTATTCTGTCTTGTCCCCGTGAAGACAACATCAAATGGATATATCTATTCTCTCTTAAACCACGTAAACACAACGTCCAATACCTGATAATTATTTTGCCTTATATAATGTGAATACCCAGTCACTTACCACGTGATTATTCTGTCAAACGCCAGGTAAAGACCCTTTCATGTACAATCTACTTTTCCTATACCTCGTGTCTCAAATGATTAATATCTAATCTGTCCTGCACCACGTGAATACCCGTCAACTGTGAAACATTAATCATGTCTTTTACCTTCAAATAAAACAAGACCGCCCCCGTGGTGTAGTGGTTAGAGCGTCCGCCCGGAGTGCGGAAGGCCGTGGGTTCGATCCCCAGTCGCGTCATACCAAAAGACGTTAAAATATGGTACTTGTTGGTCCCTGCCTGGCGCTCGGCATTAATGGGTACAACAAGGACTGGTCGGCTCGGAGTCAGTATAATGTGTCTGAGTTGGGTATTCCTGCTTCACTGCGGGTTAGCACTATAAAACCAGCTTCAGTCTGGGCTAGTACAAGCAGCCGCACATACACATACACACGCATGCACGTCGTCAGATGAGCGAAATATTCTCAAGCACGACGTTAAACCCAATTCCACCACCACCACCACTCAAATAAAACACCGGTCAATTTGATAGTATGAATAACACCTACTTGTAGTGCTATTCTTTACTTTGTCACACAAGCTGGCATCTTCAGGGAACGTTGACGTGAAGTTCATGTTGCAGCTTGGGTTGTCGGTTCCCTTGGCGCACTTCTTGCAAGCGCTTTCACCTTCAAAGATCAAGGATAGATCAGTTTACTATAGTAATATGTCAGCACACGTGAGTGGGTATGGGTTTACACCGCTTTTAGCAATATTCCAGCAATATCACAACGGGGACACCAGAAGTGGGCTTCACACATTGTACCCAAATGGGGATCGAACTCGTAAACGTTGTAACCGCAAGGCTGTTACTCCATCGGCTCCGTGGGTTCAGGGTTTCAAGGGGAAGGGATCATACCAAAACCATTTTAATGCCACTGAGAAAGTTGGTTGTCCAACGGGTAGTTCAGATGTGTGTTTATTAGTTGCTGAAAGAAGCCGCTGTGTCGTGAGATGACTAAAAGTTTGATTGCGAGTTTGTGCTGTAGTTTATCCTTACATACTCCTTTGGTTTGCTTATGTCCTAATGCCGGACTCCCAGTCATGGTGTCTTCTTGTAAACAGTAGAGGTTTTGACTGAAACTACACGTTTTTTTGTGCCACTTCCCCAATTTTTTTGTTATTGGTTTTCTTCGCTTTTTAAATATTTAAAAAATTTAGTTTATGTTTTGTGCAGATTTATCATACAGGTGCGGTGAAATGGGGGTTCGTGTCGTATTTATCGTCACTAGGGTTCTGTTACAGCGACTTGATGCAGGTGCAGGCGCGTGCATGTGTGGCTGTTGTGCTTGTCTGGACTTTTAGTGCCGGTTTCTCAATGCTACGAAGATAGTATGCTGCAGTTTAACATGAATGATTATGATAGATAGTTTATTATAGAAGAAGTTTATTTTAGTCGTAAATACGGTCATATGGCCAATGTACATAATCATTTACCCACCGACGTGCAAAAGAAACTTCCCACTCATTTCGAATGCCAGTAATAAAAATCAAAGACAGGTTTTTCCCTCGATCATCGGATGTCTATCTCAACGCCACATCGTATTATCAATTTCAACTCCATGGGGATAAAAAAACCCATTGCATTCCTATATTTAATGTTTTATATTATCAAATTATGTTAACAGTAAACCAACAAACATCTATGAAATGGAGAAATTAGATCGTCAATCGCACTTTAGGTTAAATAGCGTACATATAGACCTTTTGAATTCTTAGATTTTATCAAACAGTAAAGATAATGGAAGGTTTGGTAGCTTCTGGACAAATAAGGTTCCCAGTTCACGTCTCTGTAAGGGGTAAATTATACTGCAACCCGTCTGGGACACACAACGGTGTTCCTATACGATCATTAGTAACTATTGAATACAGCCATTCATCACCAGTGCAGAAGGAAATACCTTGTAAAGGTAAACATAATTATATCTGTATGTTTATATACTGCTTATCCGATAACCATCACATATGCCAATCATATACCCGCTTGATAAGTATCACAACCTTGTGCTCCTTCAAGGGAGGTGTTTACCCATGGCAGTTTCTTATATGGCTTAGGTTGACCGTGTGAAAGAGAGTATTCATTTCTAGTATTAATTGGTCTCAACACGTACACCTACTTTGTGTAAGGTTATATAGCAAACGTCAACAGGACACAAACTAAACAATAACAAAAGTATGTCCTGTATGCACTCTACCGTTCATGAGGTATATTTTGCTGGGATATAAAGCTTGCTTTGACTAAACGCCCTGACCACAGCACTGGTTTCAATAGTATAGCTGTGCTAGTAGGTTGATTGTTTGACCAGCAGGAAGGGAATAATTCCGCGGTAGCATTACTAATGCAGTTCTACAGGGCTTTGACATTAATTACAGGCGTGTACTTCAGGGTTGGTTCTCTGATTTCAATCTTTGCTATCCATGTTTTCAGTATTGGCTCAAACTTCTTTCAAGACGTTTTATTTTCGTTTCTGATTTTAAAATCGTGGGTAATCACTGAAGCTGTTCCTCATCAGACTTTTATCAAGCAGATATACCTTTTTATGTTTCTAGTTAAACACCGTGAATAGAAAGATCGTGATTTTAGAATTAATGAAGAACTACCCTGAAATATATTTGAGTGAGGTACTTCAGAAGTTGGTGTGGTGTTCGAGATGTTGTGGTGTGTGGTGTTTTGAGGTGATGTGGTGTTGTGATTTAAGTGGTGTTTCGAGGCGGTGTGGTATTGTGATTTAAGTGGTGTTACGAGGCGGAGTGGTGTTGTGAGTTAAGTCGTGTTACGAGGCGGAGTGGTGTGAGTTAAGTGGTGTTACGAGGTGAGTTATTGTGAGTTAAGTGGTGTTACGAGGCGGAGTGGTATTGTGAGTTAAGTGGTGTTACGAGGCGGAGTGGTATTGTGAGTTAAGTGGTGTTACGAGGCGGAGTGGTATTGTGAGTTAAGTGGTGTTACGAGGCGGAGTGGTGTTGTGAGTTAAGTGGTGTTACGAGGCGGAGTGGTATTGTGAGTTAAGTGGTGTTACGAGGCGGAGTGGTATTGTGAGTTAAGTGATGTTACGAGGCGGAGTGGTATTGTGAGTTAAGTGGTGTTACGAGGCGGAGTGGTATTGTGAGTTAAGTGGTGTTACGAGGCGGAGTGGTATTGTGAGTTAAGTGGTGTTACGAGGCGGAGTGGTGTCGTGATTTAAGTGGTGTTACGAGGCGGAGTGGTATTGTGAGTTAAGTGGTGTTACGAGGCGGAGTGGTATTGTGAGTTAAGTGGTGTTACGAGGGGTTGTAAGTTAAGTGGTGTTACGAGGTGGCGCGGTTTTTGTCATACCTAAACGTACTATATAGCGTTCACTGATTACAACTTACGAAACAAAATTTGATAATCTAATCTAGAATATTCCCAAGTTGAGTATTCGTCCACAAAACGTCCCAAAATGACGACACGCAATCCTAAGCTTCATATTCGTCAATTTTTTAGTCGACTTATTTGTTAACAGACAGGTGTATCACAAAATCATTTCCGCAATGAAATGGATACATCTAAAATGCAGTTTGTCTTAGCGATTGTTGTTCAGCAACAAACCATCTTTAAATACACTCCGTAAATAATCGAGGACCAGACAAACAGGTGATAGGACGTACTCCGACCGTAAATCCCATGCACATGCGTAAGTCTCAAGCACTGTAATATAATACACCAGGGCCTAGATTTTCGAAGCTCTCTTGGTGCTAAGATAGTCGTAAGTTAATGTTAATGAATAGCACTTACGACTATCTTAGCGCCCAATGATTTCTAAAATAAGGGGCAATACTGTAGCCTACAATATGGAAACAATGTAGTGGATATGGGGACAATAAAGGACATTGAGCAGTTCGGATAGAAAAGACATTATTACCCAATGATTCCTCTAAAGTGTTATATAAAGGGGCGGTGGGGTAGCCTAGTGGTTAAAGCGTTCGCTCGTCCTGCCAAAGACCCGAGTTAGATTCCCCACATGGGTACAATGTTTGAAGCCCATTTCTGGTGTCCCCTACCGAAATATTGCTAAGCGCGGCTTAAAACCATACTCATTCATTCATTCTTAAGTGCTATAAACTGATGGACAAAATAAATTATTTCCCCCACGTATGATATTGACTAAAATGAAACCATGCAGAAAGACTGCAAGTGGGTCAAGTTATTCGACAACGATGTATTTGATACCAGTCGCAAATTGCATTTTGGTGTACGCATTAAATCTGCTTTGTACGCGACTGATTTCAGCCTTGTAACGTTTCTGACAACGTATTGTTTTTTGAAAAATTGCAGGCATGTTTCGCGACTGATGTCAAAACGACCACTGAGGATATGGCGGCGTTTCGGAATAAACAGGCATATAAACTGAGGAATGGCGGTGTTGGAATAAAAGAATAAACATTAACTGCAAACGTTTTTTCGTGGCGACTCCAATGACTGACTCAGTGAGTATGGTTTTACGCCACTTTTAGCAATATTCCACCGACATCGGGGACACCAGAAATGGGCTGGAAAATGTACCCATCGAACCCGGGCCTTTGGCGTGACGAGCGAGCGCTTTAACCACAAGGCTACCCCATGATCCGTGGCTACTCGAAGTCGTTGTGAATATGAGTGAGTTGGGTTTAACGCCGCTTTTAGCAATATTCCAGCAATATCACGGCGGGGTATAAAATGAATTTGGTTTGCTTATATAACTACTATTAAAGAGAAAAGATTAATATAACTCGACAAAGACATTACTGTGAAAATCAATATGTCAACATACGTATCTTAGTTATACAGTGAGCTGAAACTCCATATATCACATGAATAATGACATCTACAGTTAACGTTGAATTTCCATATAATTTATATGGACGCTTGGCCTACATCATTGTCAGGGCTCCAAATTATAGTTATCTACAGGCACAGATTACCCCGTCAATCTAAATTTTATCATTTACACAGGTACTCAGCATTAAGGTTAATATACTGGTACAAATTATTAAAAATTACCTCTTTGGATCAAAACTACGGCGAGCAATGCCATGGAAACGGGAAAGAGTAAACGCAGCATTTTACACGGGGATCCCTCAGCTCCAAAATACTTCTGTCAGGCTAAAACATACTTTATACAGCGACAAGGGGCAGTATGTTGAAACGGTTATATGTTTGTCGCCAGCCAATGACACCGAAGTATACAGTCATGTGACTGCAGGAGGTATGCAAATGATTTTCGTGATACCAGCAGTTAAGCAATATTCGTCACTTGAAAATTTCATTGCATGCAGGAATGCTCTCATAACAAAACACATGAAATTCTGCAGTGTTCATATTTCTATCGCTAAAATATGTGATGTTCTTAGACTTATGCTGCTAGGTACAAAGCTGTAACATCAGGCAATATAATAATTTTGCCGTATATTCAATATGAACGACTGCGAACATAATTATCTATGTTATGCATCTATAGTTTTTCATATCCTTACAATGCTTTGACAAAACGTGATTCGCAACTTCCGCATTCACACCGCTAGTTCCCGGACTTAATATCTGGGCCTATTTGTGGTAAATACTAGTAAATCCTTGTCGTATGATTTTCCTTTATCTCACGCTTTCTTACTTCATAAGGCGACGCCCTTGACTGGAAATATTCACACACTCTTCAGGCGGTTTAGCTGAGAAAATTTAATGCATTAATTTGAACTTTGAACAGGAAATAAGTTCAAAGAGGGCAAAACGTTGGAGAGGTCTGCAGGTCATTCGAGTCTTCATCGTCATTTCTGTCCTTGACCCGTGAAGATCCGGGGTAGAATAGGTCTTCAGCAACCCATTCTTGTCATAAAAGGCGACTATGCTTGTCGTAAAAGGCGACTAACGGGATCGGGTGGTCAGGCTCGCTGACTTGGTTGACACATGTCATCGGTTCCCAATTGCGCAGATCGATGCTCATGCTGTTGATCACTGGATTGTCTGGTCCAGACTCGATTATTTACAGACCGCCGCCATATAGCTGGAATATTGCTGAGTGCGGCGTAAAACTAAACTCGCTCACTCATTGCTGTCTTTAATGTTTTCAGTTTCCCAATGTCATGTAAAAAGCCAAGAATGTAGCAAAGTCTTCCATTTGGGATCTGTACTGAAACCTACCCGTGATTGCCGGGTTAGAATATTGTAACCCATGCTTGTCGTAGGAGGCGACTAACGGGATCGGGTGCTCAGGCTCCCCCGATTTGGATGACATAAGCCATCGTACCCCATTGCGTAGATCGATGTTGTTGATTACTGGATTGTCTGGTCCAGACTTGATTATTTACAAAGGGCCGCAATATAGATGAGTGCTGCGTAAATCTATACTCATTCACTCACTCACTGCACTGAAACTTTGCTTCTCCGCTCAGCAATACCTCAAAGCTCGAATGACCATAACCCCAACACGTGGTGTTCAATATGTTCTATATACGCCGACTCGGGAGAATAATATCACTTTAAATTCACATTACATAGCATTGACTTTTGGAGGGAGATACAGTATTAGTTTAAGGGAGATCACTTCAAAAGTGACAAAAGTGATATCCGAAATTAAGCACGTTGGCCAAAATACACGAATATATTCTGCTGTAGGCTCATGAGTACATGTACGAGACTCCGTGAGACTACATACGGAAAGTCCCGGTTGTACTGTATTGTTTTGTGGGACATCGAGTAACAGGGAAGCTGCTTGAAGGTGTCTGACGATGACGTAAAGTCAGAACCATCGGAACAATTGTATGGGTGGCTTAAAACCTATGGATACCTCAAATTAAGCAGGTGGAATAGCCTGACAGAGTGAAAGGTCACTACCTCGATCATGGACCTTCGTCCAGAAGGACGCGATAGCCAGTACATTGGTACAGCCTATTCCCATTATAGAAGGGAGTGCTGTACATAGCATATCTCCTGCCTTGTGGGCCAACTGTCACTTAGGCTCAACGATGCTTTTCTGAAGCGAACACAGCCCAAGCTGTTTGTCTGAAGCGAACACAGCCCTTTCTCGAAGTGCATCGCCACCCTCTGCTGTGCAGACTCCTGACCCTTGTGCCACTACTGCCCATGGTCATTAGCACCGATTCGGGTTCCAGTGCAAGGTCTTGTACTACACTTGAGCCTCGCCATTTGCCAAGGCAAATGTGGACTAATGGCTCTCTTTTTCAATGAACAGTCTGCAGTCTGGCATTGCATATATGTCGCTTTGACTGACTGAGTTTGGTTTTACGCCGCTTTTAGCAATATTCAGCAACATCACGGCGGCGGACACCAGAAATGGGTTTCACACATTGTACCCTTGTGGGGATTCGAACCCGGGTCTTCGGCGTGACGAGCCAACGTTTTAACCACTAGGCTACCCCACCGCCCTATGTCGCTTTGAGCAACAATTGACAGACACATGGAACTGAGATTTAAAGACAGGTTTGCATGGACGTATGCTATTTGTGACTTCAGACTGCGTGTGAAAATGCATCTGACGATTCACCGCATGTCTGAAGCCAAGGAAAAGCTGATTTATTTACGTCTCCATCGACATTGCGGCAGTGTGCAGTATAGTTCTCTTTTCTGTCGTCATCCAATTGCGTGAGTTTGAGTCATCACGATCACACCTGCCAAGAACAGCTGCATTTGTGCAGGACACGTAGAAGCGGTTACATGAATTTAGGGCCGGGTACAATGTACATGTTATGTCGGAACTGATTCTCATTAGTCTGCACATTGCCACCTGTATGTAGACCCACGACTGAAGTGTATGTGTACCTTGAGAGAAAGGCAGGGCCAAACTGAAGGTGAACGAATGCTCAAGAGTAACCTGACAGCGTGAAGTGTTAATGTATGTATGTAACACTAAAACTATCATTTGGTTATTGGTATATTCTCTATCCCTGTCTACAGAAGCACAGGTTTGGTGTCGCTCATGTGAATATTTTCAGCGTCGTGTCATCCAAATCCGGAGCTGCGATGGCGAATGGGTCAAGGCTATTTATCATACAAGGGGTATTCAATACCCTGGGTAACCGACGCTGTCATCAACACAGTTTCCCAGAATGAGGGCTCATAATCTGACTGGCATAAGTGTAAACAAAGCTTGAGTTTACGGTCTGTTGGAAGTGTGCCCCCTGTCCTATGGAATATGGAGACAGCAACTGCCTCAAAGCTCCAACCGATCCTGATAAATGCTCTGAAGGCCTTATAAACCTGGTACAGATATGGTAGAGGATCTGTCACTGTCCATTTAGCGCAAGAGCATGGTCCAGGTTCATCTGACCAAGAAACAAGAAAAGCCTTTAAAAAGGCAACGTTGGAGGCACTGAGTACATAAAGACATTTAGTGAGAAGGACGTGAGATGATTTGAGGGGTGAAGTTGAGTTCAAGAGCATCACGATGACTACACCTCTGCCTGTTAGAGACTTGCTTCTATTAGAGATCGGTACTCGCATAGCAAATACGGTATTCTCATCTCCAGTATATGACATTTCATTTCAAAGGTTTCCGTCATGTCTAAACATGTCTGGAAATGAAGTACTAATGACGGACGGAGGAAACATGGTCCTATATAGTATATATATATGTATATGTACTATTGGCCTGTGGCCTCTTCAGTACGAAATAAAGATTGATCTATCATAGTGCCACTGCTGGGCCAACTTCTATAAACGCGCTTGGGTTTACTCAGCACCCGCGGTCACTGAACACACTTTTCGAACCGATTCCAGGAACCCAGTCGGCCCTTCGCTAAATTCATGATAGAGCGAATGGGTGCTACTAAAATGGATTTTCCGATTCTGCAATTCGAAATTATGCACTCAACTAGTACAAGTGTGCTCTATTACATGTAAAAATCGTTTGTATTGAAAGTGTCTCAGTTTATTAATGTTTATGAACAGTAAAACACAGAATGTGTATGAACTTAGAAATTTATGGAAAACTCGACTTCCACATTAACTCTGAAGTAAAGCGGGACAATTATTTATGATTACCCATATGGTCACATGGCTCCTAATTTGCTACATCTACAGCTATGTTCATTGGTCATTTGGAATCGCCGAATTACAAAGAGACTAATACAAGTATCATTGGTTGAAAGTTCATTTGAATAATCCAAGTGTATAATGCAGGGAAAAATTTCGAGAGACAAATTCCGCCTCCAACCAATAACATAATCCTCCAAATGCGAGGATGGCCATGAATTAAGACATAGGTGGTGGAAACGGTACCTCCCATCAGAATCACTGTAACAACACCTCCCAAGGGCCCTCTTTCACAGATATGAACATTTCTTTGGTCCCCCAAAACTGATTATGCAGTTCATTGCACCATGGAACTAGACAGACTGAAATATAACAGACTCTATTGGAGTATGAATTGAAATGTTCAACAAATAATAACAAGCATTTTTCATAAACATTTTTTATATCAAAAGTTCTGAATATCCCCATGTTTCTTTTCAAAAAAGACAAACATAAACATGAAACAGCCACCTGCTCAGTGAAAGTTCAAACACAAGCCTAGTGTTTCAACATACACACACAATAAACATTGTCACATTCGGATATACATGACCCAAACAAAATACCAACCTCAAATATCTGGCTCCTCAGGCTCAATACAAACGTCCAACACAATGACCCCATGGATTCGTCAAATGACAGGAATCTTTCTGTTATTTGAAAAAAACCCAAACAATATTAATTCAAAGATTGACTGGATTCTTGGCAAGTGGACCTGGAAAGTTTCTGTGAATCCATGTCAGTCGACTGATGTTTACTGATGTATATTAATGCAATGCTTACCAATAACCTTATAAAACACAGATAAATGTTTAACTCTGCTTTTAGCAATATTCCATTAACATCATGACATAGGTTACCAGAAAAAGTAGTGTTCACACACTGTACCCATGTGGGTATCAAACTCAGGCCTTTGCAGTAACATACATATGCTTCAACCATTTGACTGCATAACACCCCCCAAATACAGATACAGTGTTCATTTGACACAAGAGATGGGTTCACTACAGATCATTGAACAATTCTTTTTTTCTGTTTGTATTTAACATGACATGTACCTGCATCAGGGCATAACACCTTTGGCTGCCTGAAAACATTTACCCCCCCTGCAGGTTAAAAAAATAAAAATTTATCACACTGAACCATTTTCTTAATATGTCATCGCTTCAGTGTCAGCCTTCTGGAAATGTACACATGCAGTTTACTTGATTCAGGTATTGTGTTTGGGTATTTGTAAGTCTGTAAACAAAGATATTGGCTGTGATCACACAAAATGATACATTGGGGCATTTCATAATTATCATAACATGTAAAGACAGTTCTCAACTGAAATGGACCATCATCAACTCAAATTATTCCAGCCTGAATTCAGGTTTATGTCCACATATGTAGAATATTTTCTTATGAAATAAAGAAAATGATGTGAGCACACCCGACAGATGGACACTCACAGTGGTTTGATGGAATGTCCAGCAGACTTGACTACCATGTTCTATATGTTTGGAACATGAGGTCCACCTTTTACCTTGTCACGACTGTTAGCAGTTGTATCATGGGACAGTTGGAAATCTACATATCACACAAAGCTTTTTAATTCGTAAGAATTATTTTGCCCCCAAAGTGTGGCTGATCATTGAAGAAACTAAGATTATTATGAAATACCCCAACTCTGATAACTAATATCTCATATATATAAATACTAGTAAAACATACAGCACTTGTTTGAAGGTTGGACACAATTATCACTTTCACCTCAGCTGAAAATCAATGTTGATCATGCTGAGTAACCCAACAACACATTTGGCCATCTTTAGAGTTATCTCCCTCTACAGAAGCATACAATTTGTCCCAGTTTTCTGAAACCAAGCAGTTTCATAAACATCCAAAGAAAATGGCAAATTTCTTAAAGCTTTCATGATTCTCTGTACCAATCAGTTTCTTGTCAATTTCAACCCCTTTAGCATAAAACAGCTGAACCTATACAGTTTGCAACAATTCTTCCAGAGAAAATATTAAGGAAAGGAACATGGTGGAGTGGAGGAAAGGAAAACTTAACTGACAGGACATTTATACCGTATCTTAAGACTTCTTGTGATAATAAAGTTATTAGTCCTTAATAATAAAGTTGGCATTATGTTTGTTAAGCAGTGGTAATGATGCACAAGCAGTAAGCATACAGTATAAATAAATCTCCACGGATGACAGTGATTATGCAGAAAGCAGATTATGCCTCTCCTAAATGACTATTTCCAATCACCTCAATAAAAGTGGTACTGTATCTTTATACACTCATCCTCTCATCCTTCTAATGTAGTCATTAGGCTGTTCTGACATCACATGTTCTAAACACTATCTCAGCACTGATCATGAAGGTGTTGTTTATAGTCATTGCCCTAACTATGCTCACTGCACCACGACTGCTTTGAAGAACAAGGTCCAGATGATCAACTTTGTAAACTACATGTCTAGAAATGCTTGCAAGTCCTCATCCCTTGTGAAATCATCATTGGGTGAAAGAAATACTCCCACCTTGTCAAATGGATGAAAATTCTTACCATCAAAATAAAAACTAGCTGGAATGGCTTTACAGCAGGGCATGATATTGAAAGATATATATCTTTAAATAATGATTCGAACAATGAATGATTTGGTTCTTGTATACATCCTTACATCTGAGAAAGCAGTTCAAAGGAATGTCATCGAGTGAGACTGCATTAATGTTGCTTGAACAGTATTATTATATCATGGCATGTGAGTCTAATGTGTGAGGAAGGCCCAGAGTGATGAATCTCTAAGATGTTTCCACTTTTGAGAAACTTAACAGCACAGATATGGTACCGACAGGCCCAGAAACAAATGTAAAAATGCAGGACTTAAATACTTCTGTGCCCAAAGGTTGCAACTCCGCAAGTCTCTCACATCTTTTATACAGGGACAGACAAAATATGCCATATCCAACAAGAGCGGGATTTTTTTTGCAATGCTGACACGATGTGTCAATCTGAGACTCCCTGACAAAGTAATACCAGAAATATACTATTCACACTTTGCTAAGGATCAGATCATTGATTCAACAGATAACTATGATGTGGGGTCTAATTTGGTTTAAACATCTAAGCTTATTTTAAGCATGGATCCTAGGTTTCAGTATGTCACTGCATCTTGTGGATCCCATACCTGCTATTGACAGGTGTGTACTTGTCAATGACTTGTTCCATGATTTGCAAAATGGTTGATTGGTGCCATGAAAACCATTTTTATGGTTACTCATGTATCATGTATCAAGTGCATAAGGTTAGATTAAAGTGGCTGTTTGCCTAAAGAGGGGTTACTATATCATTATTTATCCAGTTTTAAAATGGATACAATTTCAAATGATAAATCTCTGTTTAAGCAAAGTTGGAAATTTTTGTGATCCTTAGCAAAGTGTGAGTAGTATGTCAGCTACATGAAAACACTCGCAGTATTCAACAGTAAATTTGCAGTGATCAAACAATATTCTGTACAAGAAAATCCCATAACAAACTAGGGATGCAGATGCTGTACAGCAGTAGCCATCATGCATTTTCTGATATTATCATAAAGCTCTTAACATGATTATGTGCAAAATGTACAGATCTATGACCATTCTTTGGGATCATAAACCAGACTTGGCATCAAACAAACTATTTCTTATTGCACTGAACATTACAAACATGCTACATAAACTTGAAATAGATGTTTGATAAATGGTTTGGAGTCTTCAAACCAACATCCTCAAAGAACAAAGGTCACCAACAGCTTGAACACTGTAAATAAGTCATGGGCTTGAAATGGTGATGTTTGAATACTGTGTTTGCAAGCAATAATGTTTCTCTATAATTAGCTATACAGGAAACTTACCTTTATCATACATATATCTTGTGAAATTTTGTGTACCGGTAAACATGGTTAAACATTTTGTTACCCATACTGTCATGTTAACATCCAACTTCTTAATGCCTATAAATACTCTCACATCACTGCATAGATTAAGTAGTGTGAGTCTTAAGATTGCAAAACTGCTTGTTTGCTATTCATTGAAATACTGGTAATGGTTTATCCTTCAACATTCACCTACTCACATGTCCACTGTATCATTCCAATGCATGTCTTAATGACAGTCTACTGCTGCAGCCAGTTTGGTTGAAAGAGATCATCTTCAGGTCAGTCTTACTGATAAGGTTATAACAAGTCCCATAATTTAAGGTTTCATTACGACAACTGTACTTTAAGATTACTTTGAGGAATGGAGTCTTGGTGTTCTAGTCTATGTGCTGTGTTTTCAGTGACAATATATTAAACAATTAAACAATCATACTATTTTCAGTTTTACCTTTTAATGTTGCCAGTCTGACAAGCATACCATAGCTGTAGCTCTTTTAGATAATACACGTATGTTATTTTAGATGAAAGAGAACCCCCTCACTTTTAGGGAACAAATTGGATTTTTAAACTGTATACCTAACAGTAAACAAGAGTGATATGTATGACATGTTCACTAAGAGTGCAGAACACACATGATTAAAACTTGTATATTCAGAATAAACGGAATTCTTATCACATGTTCGGCACATGTTTCAATGAAAGCCTGATTGAGCAAATACAAGGTATACCACTCAAACGCAGTTAGAGAACACGCAGTTCTTTCATATAACCAAGAATCAGATGTAAGCTAACTTCTTTTGAGTAGTATAGATGGACATTTGAATGTCGCTGAATGGTTATGGCACAAGCTTGTTTCTTTGGGAAAAGACTAACAAGTATGATAGACATCACACAATGGTTCAGTGGATGGAACAGTTCCACTAGACATGCCTAACAAGGGTCAACTGACATCCTAGCTTAGCCATCCTAACATCATCTTCACTTTGTCATTTAGAACATGTTTAGAACATGTTTAGAACACATTTAGAACATGTTTCTTTCACATCTATGGAGAATAACCTGAGAACGAACACAGCACCTGAGTTAGATGCAGATTTCACCTGAGAATGTCCATGAAGTCTACAAAGTCCACAAATATTGCCTGTGAGAGTTTCACCACCTCAATGACTACATCCCCACGCCCCATGGCGTCCAACAGTTTCACCAGCTTCTGTTTCATTTCACAGTTGTTGTCCATGTTCAGGGGCTGTTCAGCTTCTTCCACGAAGCCCGGACACACAAGTTAACTTCAGTTTTTGCATACTCCTAATGTTAGCACAAGCCCGTGTAATGTCTAGCTGGTTCTCTGATGTAAGCACATTTGCTGAGATGTCCAACATTTTCAACTTTCTTAAAGTCCTCGTCAGAGTGTGGCAAAACTCAGGCACCGAGGAGTCTGATAAGTGGTTCTGGGACAAATTAAGGATTGTTAGTTGTGGGAATTGTTTGAGAATCTTCAGGAGATAGGAAGGAGCTATTCTCCTTGTATCAAAGATCATGAACTGACACAGTTTGCTGACATTTAGTTCCCGTAGATGAGGGGCGTGTTTGGACTTGGCCAGAGAGTCCAGATCTTCTTCATTAATGTCACAGCCCCTAATACTGAGATATTCCAAGGGTCTTTGGAGAGCATCCAACACCTCCCCTAAACAACCTACAATGTAGTTGAAGCCAATGTCTAATCTCACCAGATGTTCAAAGCAATGGAGTGTGTTTACAATTTGCTGTCTGCCAGTGGTACAGCTTCGTGTTTTCCCCTCATGAAGGTATATATTACAATCTTGTAGATCAAGTGAGCTCAAATTGGCAAACTTTTTTAAATCTGGTGCAATAATGAAGAACACATTTTCTTCAAGTTGTCGGAGAGATATTCCTTCCAGGGTCTGAAAAGTAGAAATGTCATCCTTGTAAAGTAATGCAATTGTCATGGTCAGGTACTATGAATTAGCATTCCCCAAAATCACTGAACAATATAATCATGTAACAAGCTAAAAAGTCAGGATAAATTTCTTTACCAGAGAAAGAATGGAAATAAAAACAATAAATGATAATAATAGGGATGAAATTGGCACAAATCTGCTTGTCAAAACCAGTGTTTATAAAGCTGGTTAATAGTGAAAAGTATCCTTAGTGCTTGTACAAATTCAGGCTCTTCAGTGGACATCCAACCAACAGCACATGATGCCCACCGAACATGGTCTTGATTATCTGCTGACTGCTGACTGAGGCAAAAAGCATTAACTCCCTGAAAAAAACTATCCAGACAAATGTCAATCTATGAATTTAGCCTAATGTCCAAGGAGGAAGTTGTGTTCAACTAGCGTACCTCTACATCCTGGCCTCGGAGGACAATGAATGGAGCCAAGGAGTCCATGATCTCATCTCCAACCATCAGTTCTGACCTGCAACACAACATACACCGTTTGCCATGGATCTTAAAGCATATTATGCCAGTTTTCCATCCAACACTGAAAATCACTGATGTTTTGGTCAGGTTAAATGGGGTTTAACCTTGCACTTATACAGCGATGAGTGTATGAGGCTCCTTGTCCCAGCCTTGATGAATCTTGCATAATAGAGCCAGCTGACAGAGATACCATGACTTACTCACCCACAGTATACTCCGAGCCATCCAGTCCTCATTTTATTCTCTTAATGCATGGCACCAGACAGAGCAAAATCAAGCACTTTATTTCAACATATTTTAGGATCATATGACAAAATGTAATTTTTAGAGTAAAATTGATATTTTATACTTATCCTGACTCATGCTCTTTTGCTTGTCTTCTTCTTGCTAACATAGTGGAACACTTGTATCTCCTTATTTGAAGCCCCCTTCAAAATAAAATCACTAATTGGTACTCACCACGAAGTTGCTCCCCTTTGTCTCCCCTGGCGGAAAGGTGTCGCCACCCTCTGGCCATGTGCTCCACTCTCTCCTGATTTAGCGAGCCCAACACTTGAATTTACAGGGAAATCCAAAGTGTTATGTGGGAGGATGGGAGGGAGCATCTCATGAGTCAGGATAAGTATAAAATATCAATTTTACTCTAAAAATTACATATTTTTCCTTATCCTGACTCATGCTCTTTTGTTTGTAGCATCCTACGGAACGGAGGTGGGTAACAGAATACTTTGGATTTATAATTAGTGATTTTGTATAGATATACTGTAATATCTCCCTACGGAACTTCATGAAGGCTTAGATTTAGGATGTTTCCTGTATAAAGAAAACCATAGGTTATATAAAGCCATTAAAGGGGAATTACATTATGAATATATTGAACAATACATATAAATTATATATATATATATATAGTGACTCTGATAGAGGCACTGAAATTGACTATACCAAAGTATATGCTTAAGGTTGAATACTTAAGCTGAACATATATACATAGCCCTAAAACTCCGTGAGTTATAAGCTAGATGAGTATGTATAAAATACATATTAATCTTGTGAGGATAATATTTTAACGCCTACGAGGGACTGTCAGTTGCTGAGCCGAGGACCAGTGGTCCGAAATGGTGAATGCCAGAGACATCTTCTGTAGTGATGTCTCTCAGGTAGTGATTAGCAAATACCATGTTAGATTTCCAATAGCATCCTTCCATAATCGTGTTCAAGGAACAGTTACCGTAGGGCGAGGGTAGAGGCCAGTGCCCTGATCTCATGTGGATTTGATGCTGTTGGTGGGTCCAAGCCTGCTGCCTTGTAGGCACGGAGAATGACAGTCCTTATCCAAATAGATATTGTGGTCCGTGACACTTCTGTTTGATTCAGAGGCTTATAAGGGGATGAATAAACGCTTGAGAAATCTTCTCCTTGTTTTGGATCGTCAGAATAAACTTTGAGCCTTTACCGACACAGTGATAGGTCTTGTGTATCTTGTGATCCGAGAATAGAGGATAGCCGGATGTGGAATAATCTGTCTGGTTGACCTGGCAGTTGATTTTTGCGATGAAATCCCATCTTAATCCGAGGTGCGCTGTGTTATGATTGTCATCAAACTGTATCCTCTCGTAATCCAGAGCTGAATTTCAGACATTCTTGCTGCTGTGGCTAGCTTATAGCAGAAACAGTGTTTTCTGTGAGAGAAATTCAAAGTTTGTCGATTCCAAAGGTTCATAGACCTCACTCGTGAGGTGTTGTAACACTACATTCAGATCCCAAGCTGGGCGGGAACTTCCGCTTTGGTCCTCCAATCGAAAGCTCGTGAGTAAGGCCAGTAACTCTGGAGATCTTGTCAATTTGACACCCGCTCTCATGGTGATTACAGAACTAAGCTGCAAGATATGTTGATATCGCTGAACCTTTTAAATGTTTGTTTTGGCGTAGGTAACACAAATAGTCTGCCACTTGAGGTTGTGAAGCCTCTCTGCTGTAAACCCTTTCTTTGTTGCATAATTTTCAAACTGTGCCACTTGTCGCCGCATTGCCACGAAGTTGAGTAACGTAAGGCAAGCGCGACTGCTTTTGCCGCCTGGCAGAATATCCTCTCTTGTTTAAACACATTTGTATACAGTCCATACGCAGTAGTTGGAACATTGCTGGGTTTCCGCACTTGTTTGGTGTGAGGATGAATTAACAGGTTTGGCGCCGCTTGGGTAGCTCCAGTGTTGGTTGACCGATTTCTTGAATTAGTATGGGAAACCACGCTCTGGCCGCCAGTAGGGCTGCACCAAAGTGAGTTGTAGGCTCTGTGTTTGTCTGATTTTCTGTAATACTTGAGGTATTATTGCTGGCGGCGAAACGCTGCACGCATTGAGGCCTTCCCATGATAGACTTAGAGCCCCCGCTGCCCAAGCTTGGGGGTCTGGGACTGGTGACACGTAATGTCGGTAGCTGATTGTTGAATCGCTGCGGGCTTAATAGGTCTATTAGCTGCCCCCTAATTGCTTGATTATCTGTGCAAAATTTCCCTGTTGTTGATCATCCACTCTGTCGGTGATGGTAGATGAGGCCGAGAGAGAGAGCCGCCTGCTAGTATATTTCTGGCCCGGAATGTGCACTGCTCTGACATGTAGATTTAGATCTTGTATTAAATCGAACAGTTGAAAGCTTAGGTTCAAAAGGTTCATCGATCTCGCTGAGCCTTGCTTGTTTATGTAGAACGCCACTGTCGAATTGTCTGTATGGATCATTAGGCGCCATTTTGTAGAAATGTGCTCCAATGTAGAATGGCGCTGATTACAGCTTTCATTTCTAGACTGTTTATATGGAGTTTGCATTCTTGCTGATTCCATAACCCTGATATCGCGGTGGTTGGTGAGATGAGCTCCCCAACCTTGGAGTGACGCTGCCTACATACAGATGGGTTTTGTATTCCTGCTCTGCTAAACAAATCCCTTCGCAGACATTCGATTTCTTGGTCCACCATAGTAGATGCGGTCTGAGATGTTTCGTAGACTGAATGGTTGTACATCGCTGAGATGTGCTGCTGATGAGGACCTGTAGGGGACGAATCTGTAATCTGCCTGTGACAGTCATGTCTTGGGCTGATGTGAGAAGACCTAGTAGGCTCTGCCATTGTCGCAGTGGTAACGGAGAGAGTAGAGCTGGTGGAATGGTCTGCTGTATCTTGAGCCAACGGTCTTCTGGTACCATAATACGGTTGCGATTTGTGATGAATCAATACCTAGGAACTGCAGGTCTTGGCGATGGTACTAGGTCCGACTTATGTAGTTTACTAACCAACCTAGTTGTGTTAGTAGCTTTATGATGTAATTTAACTGTAGTTTGAGACGCAGTGGATCTTGATCTACTTGTATCCCGTCAGTCGAGGTAAAACGCACTGCGAGCCCTTTGACGATGTAGAAATTTGATAATCGGTTTCGCTATCCTCGTGAATAGCCAGGGGCTGATGATATTCAATGGGAGTACTTTCCACTGGTAATGTAGCCCTTCTAGAGTAAATCGTAGGTATTTCCTGAATCGGGATGAATGGGGATGCAGGTAGGCATCCTGTAGATCTATGCTGCCCATGTAGTCCATAGGACTAATCATCTGGCGAAACTGAGGTAAATGTATCATGCTAAACTTCGTGGTTTGGCGAGATAGTTCTTGTTGAAAAAGCTCATGTTGTAGATGAGTCTGTATTTCTCCGCGGAGTTTTTCTTGGGAACTAGGAAAACTGGGGAGTAGAAACCTGGTTCGACGCTTGCTTGATCTATTACTTCTATGGCCTGTTTGGATAGGAGTGATGAAACAGCCTCTTTATCTTTGGTAGTTGTTGCTTTGTAAATCGAACTTGGGGGTTTGATTGTCAGCGAGGCTTGGCCTGTAGAGGGATACGAAAACTGCGTTGAAGAATGTTGGAGACGAAGGGTCTTGCAATATTCCCCAGTTTTCCCAGTGTAGTTGGAGGCGCCCACCCACTTGAGCTGGCTGTACTGGAACGGCTGGGGTGGAAGACTCCAGTCGCTCAACCTGTGTTTCAGCTGCCTATAATTGCGGAACCTCTGGGTGTCCTGCCTCTTCCTGATCCTCCTCTATAGTTGCCATATGGGCTTAATTTAAAAGAATCTTTACCTCTAGAGCTGGCTATCTTCCTGTCTCTTGCTCTTTGTAGGCCCGTGAACTTAGATCTGCCTGAGTATCTTTGTGAAGTCTGACGAAATGACGCTGGCTAGTGTGTCCATCGATCTAATCATAAGGACTTCCCTGGAATCCTTAGAGACTTCCTTGGCTTACTTTGTCGATTTCTCCGCCAAAGATGGATGTTGTCGACCACGGGCTGTATAAAGTGGGCTGTAAAGTTCTCCCCAATTACAGGAGGCGAGGAGGCCTTGACGACGAAGCTAAGGTCAGTGCTGCTGAAACAGATGTAAGATGATCCGCTAAAAACTGCTGATCTTTCTTTGCATAAGTAAGGCAGAATAAATCATTCTATCATCTTCCGCCGTGGAATCCCGAATCTAGTAATAAGAGTCTCATTGATCGCCCTAGATCTATTTAACCCAAAGAACATACGCCTCGCCATGGTTTCTATATGAGCCAACTTATGCATCATCCATCTTGTAAATCTTGTTCTTTACATCGCTGATGATCTTATAGTTCTCATCGATGTCCTGGGCCTTGTAGAAGGAGTCCATGTTATGCGGAGAACTTCTTGGCTTGAAAGTTGGGCAGATGTGGTATCTGAACTTTCGTGAGCTTTCTGGAAAGCTGCATCTAGATTCTGTGGCACTGCCGCAATCGGGTCGATCGGGGTAGAGTGATTGCATCTGATCATCTTCCTTCATCAAATACGCCTGCTTGTATTGCCACTTTTAGATGGTGATGTGAGATCTAGGTTATTGACCATCCAATACCGTGATTCTGCATCAGAAAATATGATTCCTCCATCATCCTCAAACCATCATCATTAACAAATTGTAGATGCTCTTCGACCGCGCGTAGCTGTCTGTATATCTGATGAGGTTTGTGGCGATCTAGTTGACTTGTGCGCCGCTTCTATGTGGAGATCTGACGGGTGATCGAATCTGGTGATGAACGGCGGGAGATCGCCTATGGATGATCTTCTCGAGACTTGTGAGGTGAATGTTGATAGCTTCGCTGGCTCTTCGGCAGTCCCTCGATGTTCTTCTAGATGATGAAGATCTGAATCATATGTCCTTCGCTAATGCCTTCGCTGGCTTCATTTGCGCCCGTCCGGGGATCGATGATATGACCTTCGCTGGCCTCCGCGATGTCTGATGGTCTGAGTCCATATCTAGAGATGAAATCGAAGATGGTGATGATCTCTCCGCCGCCAAAGGCCTTCGCTGCTGTACATCTAGGTCCTTCGCCAAGGTGGTGCGGACTTCCTTCGCTGGGTGACATCGCCTTGGCTGCTACGCTGACGGGGGTGCCTCTGGGTGTTGTTCACGCTTGGAGCCTTCGCTGGTTGCTCGACTTCGCTTGGCGCAGTTTGTAGTGGTCCTCCATGATGTTCATAATCTGCCGCGATCATGTCTTCTGGGATGATCTAGACGGTCGCCGGGCGCCTTTTCTGCGATGGGGTTCACATCAATGACGCCTGACGCCGGTGTAGAGGCATCAGGCTGCATGGTGATCTCTGCAGAAGTCACAGTCGCTGACACCGGGTCGCTTCTTCTGCCGTAAGTCGGGATGATTATCGGCTGATCATCGAGAGGCCCAATTCTGCTGCTGGAACGATCTCGCTGAGAAAGTTCTTGCTGTCTTCGTGATTTCCCTTGGAAGTCTGGCGCTGCCCTGGGTGTCCTCAATCTGCGCTGAGACGACGATGAGGCCCTCTTAGACTTGGTCTGCAATGACGGGATGTCTGGGGAGGCCGGTCGCTTTCTTCGAGGTAACGGATCATGCCCCACGCCTCTGCCGCAGGGGTCTCTAGCAGAACACCAGACGGAGAGGGTCGACGCTAGCAGCTGACTGGATGGAATATCTGACTCTCTGCCATGTTTTGCCCTTTGTTTGCGTGATCTATCTGCAGCACGCCTTAAGACGCAAAGATGATATTTATTAAATGCAGAATGAGATAAATTAATGCAGTAACTGCAACGGAATTAAACGCACACGGCGAGAACAACTAGGGCATATTACATGTGGATCGGAGGCAGAAAACGTAATCTACAAATCGCATAGATTTTCATCAACGAAGTTAGCTGAACAATCACTTAATACACGGAATAAACAGTAGAAATAATGATAATTAATCAATACAAATAGTAAAGGATACTAGCTATACCTCTATAGTAACCTATGAGAGGTAAAACTAAGAGATTATCAAAGGATATGGTGTGTAAGGAGACACAAGGCCTCACATCCTGCTCACTGGGCTAAGAAGGAGAGAGTGAAGCACATGGCCAGAGGGTGGCTTACACCTTTCCGCCAGGGGAAGCAAAGGGGAGCAACTCGTGGTGAGTACCAATTAGTGATTTTATTTTGAAGGAGCTTCAAATAAGGAGATACAAGTGTTCCACTATGTTCGCAAGAAGAAGAAGACAAGCAAAAGAGCATGAGTCAGGATAAGGAAAAACGGACATTGGAATACTTGATCATCTTGTGGCCTAGGATTTCATTCAGCAACTTTGGCAAGACTTCTTCGGTCAGTCTAGTGGCCTCAACACCTAGACAGATAACATGTGAAATATATAACATGACAAAAGCATGTACCAAAGCAAAGATATGTAATTTTCTGATTAAAATTGATATTTTATACTTATCCTGACTCATGCTCTTTTGCTTGTCTTCTTCTTCTTGTGAACACAGTGGAACACTTGTATCTCCCTAATTGAAGCTCCGTTCAATGTAAAATCACTAATTAGTACTCACCAAGAGTTGCCTCCCTCTTCCAAATGCTCGGGAAAGGAGGCGCCACCTCTTCCCTCATGCTTCACTCTCTCCTGATATAGCGAGCCCAACACTTGAATTTACTGGGAAATCCAAAGTGTTATGTGGGGAAGATGGGAGGGCTTACCTCATGAGTCAGGATAAGTATAAAATATCAATTTTAATCAGAAAATTACATATTTTTCCATATCCTGACTCATGCTCTTTTGCTTGTAGAATCCTACGGAAACGGAGGTGGGAAAACAGAATACTTTGGATTTAAATAATTAGTGATTTCTGTATAAGTAATAACCCCCTACGGGAACTTCCTAATGGCACTGTAATTAAGCTAATTCCTGCTGCTATAAAACATAAGTTCTACCAGCTGCCATAGATGGGGGTACTACAATATATAGATACTATGATAATAGTAATACAGGTATAAAGCGACTCCAAAGTGGAGAAGCCACCCAATGTACATATAACATCAGTACTGGGCTTAAGACTACTATAGACTTAAGATATGTATATAATAGCACAAAACTCCGTAGAGTTATAAGCTAGATGAAACTGGTATGATATATACATAATAATCTCGTGAGACTAATCATCGTCTACGAGGGACTGTCAACTGCTGTGCGAGGACCATGGGACCAAAATGGTGAATACCTGAGACGTCCTCGGTGGTGATATCTCTCAGATAGTGGTTAGCAACCACCATGTCGGATTTCCAAAAGCAGCCCTCCATAATGGTATTCAACGAGCAATTTCCATGTAGAGCGAGTGTGGAAGCCAGTGCTCTGATTTCATGGGGATTAGATGCTCTTGGAGGGTCGAGTCCTGCAGCCTTGTAGGCACGAAGTATGACAGTTCTGATCCATATCGATATGGTGGTACGAGAGACCTCGGTCTGAGTCGCTGTCGATAGAGGGATGAATAACCGCTTGAGTTGTCGTCGCCTCGTTTTGGATCGTTGTAGATAGGTTTTGGGTGCTCTGACTGGACACAGAGATAGGTCAAGCGTATCTTGAGGTCCGAGAATTGAGGAGTGTGCAGGAACATGGAATAATCTGTCTGGTTGACCTGGCAATTGATTCTTCCCATCGCAGTCCCATATGCACTATGTTTTGATTGTCGTCAAAACGTATTCTCTCATAATCTAGTGCGTGAATTTCTGACATCCTGGCTGCTGTTGCTAGGGATAACAGGAACAAAGTTTTCTGTTGATTCCAGTGGTTCATAGGCCTCACTTGTGAGGTGTTGGAGCACTATATTTAGATCCCATGCTGGAGCGCGAAATCTCTGTTTCTGATCCTCCAATCGGAATGCACGTAGTAAGGCCAGTAACTCTGGCGTCTTGGTTAGCTTGACACCAGTTCTAATAGTTATCACAGAACTTAGAGCTGCGAGATAAGTTGACAATGTCAAGCCTTTTAAATGTTTATTTTGTCGTAGGTAACACAGATAGTCAGCCACTTGTGGATGTGTAGCAATCTCGCTGTAAATCCCTTTTTAGCAGCGTATGTTTCAAAACTTTGCCACTTGTCGTCATACAAGTTGCGCATAGAATTGCGTAAAGCAAGCGTGACTGCTTTCGCCGCTCTGGCTGAATAACCTCTCTTGTTTAGACACACTTTAATACAGTCCATACGTAAAGTTGGAATGCTTCTGGGTTTCCGTGCTCTTGTTTGATGTGAGGATGTATTAGTAGATTCGAGCGCTTTGGTAGCTCTACTGTTGGTTGTCCGATTTCTTGAATTAGAATGGGAAACCACGTTCTCGCTGGCCAGTAGGGCGTGACCAATATCAATTGGAGGCTCTGTGTTTGACTGATTTTCTGTAACACCAGTGGAATTAGGCGCTGGCGGCGGAAACGCGTACGCGTTGAGGTCTTCCCAGGATATGCTTAGTGCGTCCGTTGCCCATGCCTGTGGATCCGGGACTGGTGATACGAATGTTGTTAGCTGATTGTTGAAGCGAGTGGCAAATAGGTCTACTAGCGGAGCTCCTATTTCCTTGATAATCTGTGCAAAGATTTCTGTATGGAGCATCCATTCTGTCGGTGACGGTAGATGTGGCTGAGAGAGTGCGTCTGCTAGTACATTCTTGGCTCCCGGAATGTGGCATGCTCTGACATGTATGTTGAGATCGTCGATTAGATCGAACAGTTGAAAGCATACAGTCAATAGGTTCAATGATCTCGTTGAGCCTTGTTTGTTTACATAAAACGCCACTGTTGAGTTGTCAGTGTGAATCATCAGATGCGCATTCTGTAGAATAGTGCTCCAATGTAGTAGGCGTTGATTACTGCTTTCATTTCTAGCATGTTTATGTGCAGCTTGCTCTCTTGCTGGTTCCATAACCCTGATGCCGTCCGGTTGGCGAGATGAGCTCCCCAACCTTGGATGGGTTTTGAATTCCAGCTCTGTTAAATAGATGCCTTCGCAGACATTCGACCTCCTGGTCCACCATAGTAGATGAGGTCTGATGTGCTTCGGTAGACTGAATGGTTGTGGGTCGTCGAGATGAGCGTTGATGAGGACCTGTAACGGACGTAACTGTAGTCTGCCTCTGACTGTCATGTCTTGGGCTGACGTGAGGAGACCCAACAGACTCTGCCATTGTCGTAGTGGTAGCGGAGAGAGTAAGGCTTGTGGGATGGTCTGTTGGATCTTGAGCCATCGGCCTAGAAATTGCAGATCTTGCGTAGGTTCTAGGTCCGACTTGAGTAGATTTACTAACCATCTTAGCTGTGTTAGTAGCTTGATGATGTAGTTTAACTGTAGTTTGAGACGCTGTGGATCTTGATCTACTTGAATCCCGTCGTCGAGGTATAACGCACTGAGTAGCCCTAGACGATGTATGTAAGTGACGATGGGTTTCGTTATCCTCGTGAATAGCCAGGGGGCCGATGATATTCCAAATGGGAGTACTCTCCATTGATAATGCAGCCCGTCTAGTCTAAACCGTAGGTATTTCCTGGATTCGGGATGTATGGGGATATGTAGATACGCATCCTGCAGGTCTATACTGGCCATGTAGTCCATGGGACGAATTAGGTGCCGAAGTTGAGGTAGATGTATCATGTGAAACGTTGGCGGTTTGCGTAGATAATCTCTGTTGAAAGTGCTCATGTTGTAGATGAGTCTGAACTTTTCCCTGGAGTTTTTCTTGGGCACTAGGAAAACTGGGGAGTAGAAGCCTGGTTCGATGTTTACTTGATCCAGTACTTCTATGGCCTGCTTGGTTAGTAGCAATGCAACAGCTTCTCTTAACTTTAGTAGTTGTTGCGCCTGAAAGTCGAAATTGTGAGGGTTGACTGTAAGCGGAGGCGTGGCCTGTAGTTGGATTCGATATCCGTGATGTAGGATGTTGGAGACATAAGGGTCTTGTAGAATTCCCCAGTTCTCCCAGTGCAGATGAAGGCGTCCACCCACTTGTGATGGTTGTACTGGAACGGCTGGGGGTGGAAGGCTCCAGTCGTTCCGAACACGTCTTTCATCGTTTATAGTTGCGGGAACCTCTGGGTGCCCTGCCTCTTCCAGATCCTCCTCTGTAGTTGCCGTATGGGCGACGAAAAGAATCTTTTCCTCTTGAGGTTGCCATCTTCCTGTCCCGTACTTTCTGTAAGCCAGTAAACTTAGATCTTCCTGAATATCTCTGTGATGTCTGCCTGATGACGCTGGCTAGCGTGTCCATCGACTTGGTATCCTTGGTGACTTCTTTAGAGACTTTATCTATTCCTCCATCAAAGATAGATGGCGAAGACCACGGGGCTGTGTAGAGTGGAGATGTAAACTGCACACCCCAACTACAGGAAGCGAGGAGACCTTGACGACGAGCCAGAGTTAGCGCTGCGGAGACTGATGTAAGATGATCCGTTAAGAAAAGCTGGTCCTTCTTCTGCATAAGGAGGGCCGAGTAAATCATTCTGTCATCTTCTGATGTAGAATCACGAAATCTGGTGATGAGAGTTTCATTAATCGCTCTTGATCTGTTAAGGCCGAGGAACATTCTCCTTGTCATGGTTTCGATCTGCACCAGCTTGTGGTCGTCTATCTTGTAGGTCTTATTCTTGGCATCGTTGATTACTTTGAAGTTATCGTCGATATCTTGTGCCTTGAAAAATGGGTCCATATTATGGGTTGAGAACTTTTTTGGCGTTGAACTGTGGTAAGTGCGGCGCCTGGGCTTTAGTGGCTTTATGGAAGGCTGTGTCCAGATTCTGAGAGACTGTTGCTATCGGGTCGATCGGAGGTAGGGTGATGGTGTCTGCATCGTCCTCCCTCATGAGATAAGTGTGGGCCGGGTTACCGTTCTTGGAAGGTGAAGCTAGGTCCAGGTTGTTAACCATCCAGTAGCGTATTTCTGCGTCGGAGAATATGATGCCTCCATCATCTTCTGTAACGGGATCGCAAATAAGAGGTTGATCCGATGGTGACTGAGGTGGAGACCTGTATACTTCTACAGCTGTGCAGGGTGACGTCAACGGAGACCTGTCTGGGGACTTCCGTGAAGACTTGTGAGGCGAACGGTGTGATGACCTGCTTGGAGATCGACGTGGTGAACGACGAGGAGATCGTCGTGGAGAACGGCCTGGTGAACTGCGTCGATATGGTGACCTTCGTGGAGATCTATGTGGTGAACGTTGATAGCTTCGCAAAGCTCTTGGGGAATCCCTCGATGACCTTCTAGACGAAGATGACTTGGAGCCTGTCCCTTCGCTTCATCTGAGTCCGGTCCTGGGGAGTGACGACTTGACCTTCTCGAAGGCTGGGGGTCAGAGTCAGAGTCCGAAGGCTGTACATCTGGGACCTTCGCAGAGGTGGGCTGTGACATCCTTCGCGAAGGTGGCTTCCCCAGCGATGACTTGATAGCGGACCGACTGGGGTGTCGTCTATGTTGGAGCCTTCGCGGGCGGCTCGGCCTCTGGGCTGGTTGTCTCTTCAGGCTGTAGCGGTCTTCCATCATCTTCATAATGTGTAGAACCAGGTCGTCTGGGACGGTCTGCGAAGATGTAGATGGTGTCCTCTCTGCGTTGGTAGCGACGGGACACTCAGGAAGATCGTCAGACATCAGCGTTGGTACATCAGACTGCGTGTAGATCTGCGCTGACGTCACTGTTGCCGACACCGGTCGTTTCTTGTGGCGTACATCGGGTATGATGATCGGCTGATCATCATACAGGCCTAGTTCTGCGGCGGGAACAATCTCGGCTGAGAAAGTCCTAGTAGACTTCGCTGGTTTCCCCTTGGAGGTAGACGCTGCCCTGGGGGTACGGAGTCTGCGTTGTGATGAAGTGGAAGCCCTCTTAGTCTTCGGCTGCGACGACGGGATGTCTGGGGATGCAGGACGCTTCTTGGAGATGGGGGACTGCGTCCCACGCCTCTCCTCCGAGGGTAACTCTAGCGGAACACCAGACGGGAGGGGGTCGTCCGACAGCAGTTGACTGGCTAGGGGTTCCGAAGCATCAGCCATGGCTAGGCTCTGTTTACGTGACCTATCTGCTGCACGTCTCAAGACGCAAAGATAATATTTGTTAAATGCAGAGTTAGACAAATTATTACAGTAACTGCAACATGAAGAAAATGCACATGGTGCAGTACAGCTAGGGCATATTAAATGCGGATCGGCAGCAGAAAAACGTAACCTACAAACAGTACAGATTTTTCATCAACGCAAACTGCTGAACAATCACGGCGTCCCGTGAATAAACAGCAGAAATACGAATAAATATCAATACATAATTGTTGAAGGATACTAGCTAAACCTCTATAGATGACTACAAGAAGTAACTAACTAAGAATAATCAAAGGATATAGTGTGAAGGGAGACACAGGCGCTCTCACATCCTGCTCACTGGGCGAAGAAGGAGAGAGTGAAGCATGAGGGAAGAGGTGGCGCCTCCTTTCCCGCGCATTTGGAAGAGGGAGGCAACTCTTGGTGAGTACTAATTAGTGATTTTACATTGAAGGGAGCTTCAATTAGGGAGATACAAGTGTTCCACTGTGTTCGCAAGAAGAAGAAGACAAGCAAAAGAGCATGAGTCAGGATAAGGAAAAATATATAAACATGAAAAGTGTCAGTGTTCACCATTCTGCAAGTTGTCATTTACACTTTTACCATGGCAATTGCAGAATGAAGTCAAACAAGTTTTGATAATATTTGATCAGAAACCTTTGATCATGATGACACAACACCTATGGCATATTGAGCATGTGAATAACTCTGGAACAATCCTTGAATGGGCAAACTGACACAGATACTGACAAAGATAGAGACAACAGCTTAACAAGGATGCTCAATAGCACACAGGATAAAATGGAAGGCTTCCATAATCAACAATCTTTCTAAAATAAGAGACCCTGGAGAAAATTGAATCGTTCCCATACCGGCTGTCTTGGAAATGACTTTGGCCAGGCGTTTAAGGTTGAGCTGTGATTTCTTGAGAGACAGGACTGGCCACATCTGGATGATCAGCTTGCTGAAGGTCGTGTCTACAAATCAATACACATCTCAAGCAGCTGTACATTTTGTTTTTGATCATACACATTTCTGGATTTACTGAGAAGCACATGTACTTCAGAAAGTTTATGTCCAGATCATCGTGATCATGCAGATTGTGGCCTTGGAATAGAAATGTCATTTTCAGAAGACTTTGGTCAGCACAATGATGACTGTTTATGAACTTCTAACTGTGGTTACAAATCTTTGACAACTTACTGAGTTTGAATCCTCTAAAATCCAGGCATTTCATTTTACAAGCCTTTGTCCTTCCTAAGACGCCACGGAACACAACCAAGTCAAATCCCATTTCTTCCTGGAATATATCTGCATAGGTCTTGTGGCAAAGTATCTCACGAAAACTGGAAATATACAAAATGTTTTCATGCTTGAGAATCAATCCTGACACAAATGAAAGACAAGTGGTAGCTGATAAGAGTTTTTCAAACTGAATTGATATAGGTTTACTGTTTACCTCTGTATATGGAAGGTAGTGTATTGTGTACTGCCTTTAACCAAGATTGAGTAAAATGACATGGTAACAGATTTCTTTTTGTTATATCCACCATTGAAATGTTACATGAATACTGTATTCTACTATCATTACAAAAATGTTTCCAGAATGTTTTAATTTAGAAATGTTTTCAAAACAATCAGTTAAGGGCTTCTTAATGAGTCTCCTTGCCAAAAACTGTCTCTTTGCATCTCTTTCAGTAAAATCGAGTATTTATATTTGATGCATGGACTTTCATAATTAAACTTCAGTCCATCAAGTTAAGTGGATCAGCTTGATGTCAGTTTACCAACAAATCCTGATGGTATATTAATTCATGCTTTTGAAGATCTTAAAGAGAAATTAGGAGTGCAGTTATTGTTACTGTTTCTCATAATCATAAATTGTTTTGTCTCACTACTGTAATAAAATATGAAGAAAGAATTAACCTAATGATCGAATGTCTGAGAATCAAGACCATCCAGCATGTACATTCTGTTGAAATTACAAAACTTACCAAAGACATGGAAGAGGCCAGCTAGCAATGAGGCTACCGACTGCTTGTGGTTGTACATTATCAACAGCAGCTTTCAGTAATACTGGTGCTAGATGAACAGGAACTGATGTGATGGTTAGCTCAGCCAGGGGAGGATACTCATTCAGGACCTTACAGCTTATCTGCAGTAGGGAGCGAGGCTGGTTTGTAGGGTTGTCTCCCTTTGATGTTTTGTCATTGATTTGAAGATGGTCATAGTCTATATGGTCCAGTGCCCGGTACATTCTGTTGAGCACAAATATTTTTAAAGTATAGAATAACAGACAATAAATTCATGATAATATTCTCACAATCAAACATATTCCCATTGCTCATAAAATGCTTTGAAGTTTTAATTCCAAGTTGGGCACACTATCCAAGGAGGTAATTTTTTCTGCCGAGCGCAATGGCTCATTCATATCAAATATTGATATGAATGATGCAGCAAAGAGATATGGGTAATGCAGCTATCTCCAGCTTTACACACTGTAAATTAGTGTAAATATTCTAGCACATTAAACATGTTGAATACACACCTTCCAACCCATAAATACTGCAAGTGACTACATGTTCCTATCATTATCCAGGAAATCATTACCAAGGGGATTGACAGTGTAAACAAATGCCATACTAGCACTAGATGATATGGGTCAAGTGAATGGCCCATATCAAAATCTGTAAATGAGAAACTTTTCTTCCTAAGAGAAGTTATGCCTGTTTCTTTAGAAACAGTAATCACGAAAGACAGATAATTGCATAGCTGCTTTAGCATCAACCAGAGTTAACAGCACCAGACACTTAGTACAGAGATGATTTAGCATTACACGACTGCCACATAGCAAATAACGTAAAATTTCACCCTTGTTTGTAAAAAAAAAGAAAAAAAAGAAGCTAATTCTGAAATGAGGCCAGTCTGGTCTTATGAAAGCTTAGAAATGCTATTTTCAGGTGTTTTGCATGATTATACAGATATACTACTTCAAGTGTGACAAAGGGTATGGCAATACATCTTTACACATCAAAATGACTGTACTGCTAACTTTCTCAAAAGGTTTCAATGACTGCATGTGTAATTGTACAACCACATTGTACAAACACTAAATACAAAAATTGGAAAATGTTGATCACTATAAGTAAATGTTCTCAATGAAACTTACCAATTTCATGTCAAGTTTATCAATGCGTACTTATCATGATACATAGTTCAGACATATTCATCACGTTTATAAATGAAAAAAAAATTGTTGAAAGGACTGTATGTGAGGTAACAAGTCATCACATCCCACTGATCTGTGGTACTGTAGGTAGACCACGAGGACAAAATACATGATACATCTCTGGAGTGTGTCGACACTCTGGCACTGAAAACTAATAAGGAACTTGGGAAGGCCTATCTCACTGAATGTTTCATCATTGAACACTTAGCCTATTTGACTGAGAAAATGACACTACAGAAACTCATCAGCACAGACTCTAAATTAAGGATAAAACTGTAATTTATTGCTATACTTCATGCCATTACGTAGTTATTGTTATGAAGAAATGTGGTCTGAATTTGTGTTATGTGCAAGTTTCTCATTTCAATTTTCAGATTCGTCAACATGGACGTTTGGTATCCTAGTTAAAGATAAAAGTACACAGAAAATAAATTCCACATTGGGACAGATGATAAACCATACCTTCTAGAATATCAACTCAATGAAGAGGCAACTTCATATATCTGTCGGGACCGCTAACTTAGGCCACAGTAGACGAAGTCATCCTAACTCATTCTCTTTCAGACCCTCTTTCAGCGCCCCATGAGCGTTATTCTCGTAACATATCGCGAGACTAAACAAAGACATACAAAACTCATACGGGAGAAATAAAACGAAACAAAATGAGTGCATGTTACGTTGTTTTCGTATAGTTAATTTATCATTTATGTATTAAACGCTGGTTGTAATATAAATTCAGCGTCAAGTATGGCATGTTTAAGACATTTACCTGCGAGTGTGTATTGAGTAATGCTGAATGTGTCGTTGTCGGGGCCTTGGCAATGAACGTTTCAGAACCTCAACCCAAATCAAAATACAGTAGGCTACCCAGTAAACTAAACGGTAAGTTCATATTCCTTAACCCGAAATCGAAACTAGTTCATGTTGTTGTGTAGGTTCGTCTACGAGTATCTGGTGGATAATGTTTAGACTAACATCTAGCCTCTGAAATGAACAAATGTCAGGGTCTGTATGACAGGCTAGGTAATGCTGTGCTTCGTGAAATATATGAACTTCGTATGCGTAATTCACTGAATAGATTGGTGTTTCGTTTTTGTTTTGTTGCCTTTCATGTAGTATATGACAGTTCCGATCTAGAAAAATGAAGAAATTCTTCCGTGCCAAAAGTCTAGTAACATAGCTTCATTTCGTTGGGGAACCAGGAACACGATAGAGCGTTCAGGACAAGTCGTATGGTATTATTAGTGTTCCGAAATGATATCATAATGATTATGATAAAGGAGTTTCCATCCAAAACCAAAAAGTGACTTCCTTTTTTATTACTCACCACCTTCTAAACTGCCAATCAAACAGAACATATAAGAGAAGAAACTACGGAAAACCCGCACTGAAGTTCGTGATCAAGGTAGATCTATGTTAAAATTAATATCATTAGCTTCTAATATATATCATTTCAAATGTATTCGATGGAACGTTTTCTTATTCCCGAGGACAAGGCCGTTCACGTCATGTATTTATGTTAAAAACTGTAATAACATGTTCTGTCTTTTAATGTCAGTTAATATTCCTATTCCAACCAATTTACAATCCACCATTTTGAACATACGGCGTTGCATGGAACCTCCAACATGGCGCGGAACGTAAATGGAGAATTCCGGTATGAGTGAAAGTTTTCGTTCAGCATGACATTCCGACGTTGGTGATTTTAAGTACTTAATATTTACCAGCTGCCTCTAAGATCAAGGTCTGTAGACATTAAACTGTCATTATCAGTGTGAACAAAGAACAATATTTTTAGTGCTGACGTTCTTACTACTTTCGGTTTATTTTCACGGAGACGGAAGTGAAAATGTTATCAGTGTAAAGCGCCACTGACTTATGACAAGTCCTGGCCCATTTGTCATTGACATCTAATACTTACATGAGATCACTGGACAAATTCGACATTCTGCTCAAACGTGAGTATCATACATCCCATGAAAGGATACACGAGGCCGAGATTTGTCAAACATCTGTCAGTGTTGACAGTTAACAATGCTGAGTTTCGTTATCTGAAAATAATACCACGATAACAATTACAAGTTCGTTTGTCAAAAGTCAATTCATTGCTGATATTCAGTTTGAATGTAATATATACTTGTAGTGCTAGAAAGGGGTTACGCATAATCTATTTTCATTTATCTCATCCATTATGGTTAGTTGCATGTTTTGTATGGGAGACGGTGATTTCGTAGACAAAACCAGTTCGTAGACGCGGTGAATTCGTAACCAAAACCGGTTCGTAGACGGTGATTTCGTAGACGTGTATAAATAATTGAATATATAGTATATATTAAGTTTGATTTTTACTTAGATGTTACTTAGAATGTTTATAACGAAGTTGTTATGCTTTGTTTTCAGTGATACGAAACTAAGGGCAGCTAAAGACTCAAGGAAATTGTGAATGAATATTTTCCCGTATGCTTTGTTTTCAGTGATACGAAATTAAGGGCAGCTGAGGACACAAGAAAATGTGATTGAAGAGTGAACGAATATTTTCCGTGATCTAGTCTAGACTTGTTTTACATGTATTTGTATATATAGGGTTTGTGTTGTATTTTTATTTTCAGTGATACGAAAATATTGTTACTGTGTGACTGTGTGTATTTTAATTTGATACAACTGAATTTAATATATTAGCGCCCTATGATTTGTCGGAATTTGTGACATGGACCACTGCAAAGCATATTTTGTTATTTTATTATTTAAGGATATTTTCACCGCCGATCATACTTACCTGATATATTTTATTTATTTCACAAAATGCAAACACTTTTCGTCGATTTTCTTCATCATTGAGGATGAACTTTTCCCATTTTAATAACGTCTACGAATTCACCGCTCAATCCGTCTACGAATCCACCGGATTTCCACGTCTACGAACCGGTTTTGGTTACGAATTCACCTACAGCCTTTTGTATCATGTTGCACCCATTGCCAATTAGGACTTCCATCAGTTTGAGGAATAAATGGGTGGAAGCCTTCTGATCAGGCTACCCAGCTAACACGAAAATGTTTTTAAAATATCCCCAAAACATTTCGTGAAATGTTCCAGAAACATTTTTTATAATGTTTTATTCACGTGATTTTGTATGGTTCCAGAAATGTTTTAGAAACATTTTCAAAAACGTTTAACTATAAGGTTTTTAAAATGTTTTCCTGAAATGTTTTTTCGAGATGTTTTGGAAATGTTTTAAAAAATGTTTTATTCATGTGATTTTGTATGGTTCCAGAAATGTTTTAGAAACATTTTCAAAAACGTTTAACTATAAGGTTTTTAAAATGTTTTCCTGAAATGTTTTTTCGAGATGTTTTGGAAATGTTTTAAAAATGTTTTTTTATTCACGTGATTTTGTATGGTTCCAGAACGTTTCAGCAATGTTTTCTCCAACATTCAGTGAATATATTCCATAAAGGTTTTCTGAAAACGTTTTATAGATGTGATTTTGTATGGTTCTGGAAACGTTTTATTAACATTTCCTTTGAACATATAGTTTTAACTTTTCAAGCATATAGAATAGCCCTGATAACAATTAGGTGGTGTTTTGTTTAAAACGTAAACCACTGGAACAAAACGTAGAACACTAACAGTTAACAATGTACATAATATGTCTGTGGCAAATAGTTAGACATATACATATAGGGGCGTGTCTCACTTAGAAACAGCGTTAGAAAGACATATAGATATCTAGACTCAACCCTTTTACTATATAATAGGGTTGGGTCTATACCTCTATATGTCTTTCTAACACTGTTTCTAAGCGACACATGTCCCTATGGACATATATAGTTAATCTTTACAAGGACACCAAAACAGATAAAAGAATGGCAGACTTGTAATCAACAATTTTATTAATAATTCTGGAAACGTGTACACTTTTTCAGTTTGTTTCATTATCTTCTTCTTTGCTTTTGCAGTCATCCATATTTCTGAAATATAGAAAACTTTCAATAATCTTAAGCAGGTACTTGAAATGTGATATTTACTCAAACCAAGTGACACTAACCAGGAGACTAAGTCTTCTACCACGTTTGTACAGACACGTGTTTGGTGGACATGAACACACTATTGGAATGTAATGATTGATATGATAATATCCAGAATCATGCTGAATACCAAAGATGTAGCAAGCACAGAATATCACTTACTGGTCAGAGGCTGGGTACAAGTACAAATCTTGCAATAAAAAGCCCAAAATATATCAACATGTTCATAGACAATGGTATTTAACAGCTGCACTTACATAATTCACAGCTCCTGGATTATTTGATGTATTCCTCCATAAATCCATCATGTGTTTGTATATCCTGGAATGCTTGTCTCATATTCGCCCTTGCTGCAATGAAAATAACAATGTTCCACATTATCACAAGTTATAAATTGAACCGTTTTCCATAAAGCATATAAAATAGATCTAGTTAGTCTAAAGCTGAAACATACTATGTATTTGCCTCAAGTTTTTGGTGGGTGCCCATTTACAACAAACTTGGATTACTGGCGAGCGTTTCTAACCCAGAATCCAAACTGGAATTGATTTATTACACATCTATTGTAACTAGCTACATGATTCAAGGCTTACACGCGGAACAGTTGCAGCTGCAGTACGATTTCGTTGCGAGCATTGTAACCAGATTCTTCAGTTTTTGATCACGATGTTTTCGGTTTCACTGAAACATCATTTCACCAAGAATTGTAACAACTTTATTTGGTCCAACATTTACTAAACTGAGACCACGCCATTTTCACTATGGAATATAGTCTCTCGTACAGACCCAGAAGCAAATATATCCAAGAAAGCCCATGCAAGTCTAGAAAATGTGGCAAGTCTAGATTTCCTCAGCTTCAGGTCTGAAATGAAGAAAGTCTGAGGGCTCCTTTTTATTATATATATATTTTTTTACTATGAACGTTTTTTTCAGTAAAATATGTTCATTTCAGAGACTAGTTGTTAGTCTAAATGGAATACTGTACCATGAAAAATCATGAAAAACCCTAATCAACACGGTTTCAAACGATGTCACTTATATATTGGTGTCAAACCTCGACATTGTTTATATCTCCTTCCTGCAAAAGCAATTAGATCAATATTTTTATGTAAATCGTCACCAAACATTGATCACCTCACTGACAATATATTGTGATAGTCTGTGGCCATACACTATGGTATAGCAAGTGGCCATACAGTGACAACTCATAGCCGAGGACTAGTCATCGCCAACGCCCAGTTATAGTGTAGGCCACACGTTTATTTCTGGCTCTTGTCTAGAAGGGAAATACATCTATCCAAAACCGATCAATTTATTTGTCTGGGGAAAATTTAAGAATACACAGTGTAAACAGAGTACCTTTAATAGGAGACCATATAATAAATATTATTTATTATATTGTCTCTGCTTTAGTATAGCACTTGAAAACATGCGGTAGTAGTGGACAAACAACAATCCGACAACCCAGCAGATGGTCATTTAACATTTAGTTTAGTCAGTGTTAATTAACAAGAATGCGTCTGTCATTTCTGTTAAGAAATAGGTTTTTTATAACATGCACACACTATGACA